GCTGCAGTCTGTGTTTTGGAAAGGAGTGGAGTACTGACCGTAATCACTGAACCCAGCAACTTCTTGTTTGGGGGGAGTCAGTGAAAATGCATGAGGTCTGTTACCCAGATCTGGGAAACGGGAAGAGCCAGAAAACGGTGGCAGGACCTGTCTCTGGTCTAGTTAAATTATTCCCCATTTTACTCCCTCCCAATTTAATCATCCCAGTTCTCTCGCTAGTTTTCCCTTTCCTAATTTCTCTGATCTCCTGTTCAACCCCAAATATTAAGTGGGTCTGGTTTGCTGCTTCCTCGTCCTCCTCCCTTTAATAAACATGATATCCCTTCTTTTCAAGCATTTCTCAGCTAGTGTCCAATGTTAGTCCTATTTAGAACAACCCCATTGAAATGAATGGGATGTAAGTTTAACAGTGGATACAACCCCCTAGCCTTGTTTTCTCTCTGTCTTCCCCATAACTTATCCTCTATCCCAACACTCCATGTTTGAACCCCTTAGCCCAGACACGTCGGAATGCAGAATATGGCTCCATAAACCCCACTCACATCCTTTTCCTTTAAAAAAAAATCCTTCTAAAATCCCAAATCTATTTCCATTCAACTTTTCTCAGGGGGACAGGAGGAGGAAAATAAATTAGGAATATATTTGCACCTGAATAGCATTGCACCCAGAAAAAACTCAAAGCTGCAACAGAGTTCTCCTCCCCCCCCCCATAACCCCCCCCCCCATTGAAATGTGCCCCCATCCCCCCCCCCCCCCCCCCGACACACACACACAGCCCAAAGCACCTTACCTGGTTGTGCAGGAGGTCTTGGCAGACACGGGGACAGAACCAGTGAGGCGGGAGGTGCTTTTTTCCGTGCCCCCCCTTCCGATCTGTGCAAACCCACCAGGCTGGGAAGAGGTCTGTGGCGGGGAAGGGGAGGTTGAGTTGTCGGCTCAGATCACTTGTCCATGTTGCAGGCGAGCTGATGTCTCTTTTTCTCGCTCTTTTTCCATCCAACCTCTCCGCCCCCCCCGCCTGATTTGCCCCCTTTTGCTTGCAAAGCCAGAGCAGATCCAATAGATTAGGCTGGGGGGGGGGGGGCGGAGAGAAAGGAGATAATGTGGGGTGCCGGGATGCCAGCAAAACAGCTCCCCCCACCTTCCCACCAGATCCTGGCACTGGAAAGATGCTTATGCGATCAGCGGCTTCTTCCTCAGCTCCACCCTGGAGTGCCTTGTAGTGTGTGTGTGTGTGGGGGGGGAGCACCGCACACAGCTTCTGCAATGGAGCGGTGGCAGCGGGGTGGTGGGGGGAACGTTGCTGCCTCCAAAACTGCTCTCAGCCTACATCTTCTTTTTCTTCTTCCACATCCTCCTCGTCATCTTGCTCCCCCCCACCTTCCTGCCATGGAACCCCAGCCGGATACCTCAAACCCATCCGTCTGTCCGGCACCCAGTGACACCCGCAGCTCCGCTGCTCTCGGAGACCTCAGGCAGGCAGGAAGCCCATCGATTTTGTCCTCGGAGGGTTGTGGTGGGTGCACAGGCAGAGCCAGAAGCGAAAATAAAGGAGAACAGGAGCCGGGGATAAGGAAGACCATGCATGCCTGGACGGGGGAGGGAGGGAGGGAGGGAGTCAAGAATTAGGGTCCTTTTCCATGGGTCAGACGGGAAGGCTCAGGTGTTTCTTAATAAGTGTTGGAAACCCTAAGTCCCTCCCCCATTGGGTCAGTAAGGAGGAACCTAGCCTCTTTAATCAGTTCAGCATATTTGACTGACCCCCCCCCCCCCCCCCCCCCCCCCCCATCCCCTTATTCTTTTCAGGGATCAGTAAAGATCACTGGATTCTTTGAGGTGGTGGGGAGAACTCTAGACCCTAATCCCGCCCCGATCAATAAGGAGGAGTGCCTCTTCCTCGAGTTCCTTCCTCGACGGGTCCTCCCCCGTCACTTAGGGGCAGTGCCTTGGTCCTCCTCACAGACCAGTAAAGGGAATCTTGGTCCAGCTACAGGAAGGACCTGAATTCCCCTATGACCAGCAAGAAGGTTGCTGGTGTCCCAGCCATCTCCCAGGGAAATCCTAACCCCTCTCCCATAGTCCAGTATGGAGAACCCCAGTTCTCCCATTCATATTGCCCCCAACATCCCCCCCCCCCAAGGCTGGGGAATGTGTCACTCCCTGGATGAAAGCCACAGAATGAGAGGCGCCCTTCTGGATCAGACCCAGTTCGGTATTCTGTTCACCCTGCGGCCAGTGCGGAAGCAGGGTGTGAACTGCACCTTCTTCTGCCCATGTTCCCCAGCAAGTGCTGTACATAACCATACCGCCTCTGATCCTGGAGGATGCATTCCACCATGAGGACTAGTGTCTATGAATTTGCCCAAGCCCCTTGGTGGCCGCCGCTGCATTTTGTGTAGTGTTGAACGAGCACTCCCATCCTCCTTCACCATGGGGCTAGGGCTAGTCAGGACTCACGGGGTTAATCCATCTTAGGGGTGTCAGTCCAGCTCCCAAAAAGGATCCATGTAAAAGGCATTAGAACCCCCCCCCCACACACACACACGATTGCCAGTCCCCCAGGCAAGCGCATCTTTTGACTCGACAAGAGTGTTGGTCTTTCTCTCTCTCTCCCAAACCTCGGGGGAGGACAGGACCGCGAGATTGGAAGAGGGGGAGCAGAGAAGAGGAAGAACAGCCCCCCACCCCATTATCAGAAAACCGCCCTGCCCCCACTTCCACTCTCTGCTGCCAGAGGGCGCTATGCAGGAGAGGTGCTTTGCGGCGCTGGCCAGCCGTTGCTGCTTCTTGGGGAGCGGGTGCTGCTGGCTAGGTCTGTATTCCGGGCACGCTGTCTTGTTTCTCTGGCTGCAGTTTCTCTCAGCTGGCTTTTCATGCCAAGAAAGGGGGTGGAGGGGAGGCGAGGGGAATGGGGGTTGGGGGGCGTCAGCCTTGTCCTGATCTGCTCCCTGCTCCCAAATCCTCCCTCCCTCAAGAAAATGCCCGATTTTGCAAAGCGGCAAAGATCTGCCCTCGCTTCACTCTCATTATAGGCAGAGAAAGATCACAAACACGCGCGGCCCGCAGGTAACATTTGAATCCTTTAGCTTTGGTGTTTTGCAGTGACTTGAGCTGGGAGGGATTCCCTCTTAATGTCACCTGGGAGTGCGGTGATCAGCCACGTCTCGGGGTGGCCAAGCGGACGAAGGGGAGATGGATTCCCTGGAATCCACCTGTCCCACTTTCTAATGTTGCACCGAGGAAAAGCCCTGGAGAGAGTTACAGCGTGGTAGGGAGGAAATCTGCGTTCAGAAGGCGCCGCAAGGAAAAGGGGTTATTAGGTTATTAAGGTGGGGTTTGTGCTAGCCAGAAAAGCACACGCGCGCGCGCAGGCCTCTGCTCCCCCCAACACACACTGCAGGAATCTCTTGATGCAGGTCCCTTGGATGCAAGCTCCTTTCGAATTTACAAGATCTGCAGCTTTTGAGGGGGAGGGGTGCTGGGTGTGGAGAACAAAAAGCGTTGCATCGAAGAAGAAGAAGAAAGATAGCGCATCCCAATAGAGCAGGAGCAAATGCCTAATTCTCTCGCCCTCTTGCCACATCTATTCCCCCAAACATTCTCGCCCAGAAATCGGTGTGTGGCGCCCTCTGCCGGCTCCACCTCGCCACTGTAGCCAAAACAGCCCTTCTTATTTTGAAATTTCCTCTCGCTCCCAACACGGCACAGTTTTTGCAGGGAGGGGGGATAGAAGTTTAGCGGAAAGTCTGTACGCTGACACATCCTTTCCCAGGGCCTGTCATCTCCCTATCTGATGATACGTTCTTGGAAGGACAACTGTGCTCAGCACTGCCACGACCTTCCGGTGGAATTGTAATCTGGTTGCAGAGTAAGGAGAGGATTATAGGAGAAGGTGCCCAGGAGCTGTGGATGAGTCCTCCAGTGATTCTGTTAGGGTATTCCAAGAAGCATGGCCAAGGAGGCACGTCTCTGCATTTGTCTAAGGACTGTCCTATAGAGTTTACTGTCCTTTAGGACACCACTTTTGAAAAAAGGGATATATGGACAGGGAAAGCAAGGCCATTGATGGGATGCCATCTGAAAAAGGGCCACCAAGAAGCAGGAGGGAGCCATGGCAAGGCTGAGGCAACACCAAGGTTTGCAGAAGTACCGAAACAAAGATCGTTAAGAGAAGACCTAAAAAGCTTGGAAAGCTTAGCACCAATTGGGAAAAAGTGGGAAATGGAACGTGGGTGTGTGGAATGCCATGTTTGAGCCCCAGCTTCGACTATCCAAGGGCCGGGGGGAGATGTGGCTGCCTGGGAGGAACCCTGAACAGAAGCTCTTCTTTTATCCTCACAATAACCCTGCGAGGTAGGGCAGAGAGTGTGCGCACTCAGGCCAGGATCGCCCCGGAAGCACTGGGTGCGCAGACAGCAGCACAGTGCACTGAGTTCCAGTGGGACGTGGCGAGTGTTGGACAGGAACTGGGGAGACTCGGGGTCTAGCCCCCACTTGACCATAAAGCTCTCAGGGTGACTTGGGGTCAGCCCCTGACGTGCAGCACAACCTACCTCACAGGGTTGTTGTAAGGATAAGCTTGATAGGAGGGAGACTATGCAAGCTGCTGTTTCTCTGGAAGCTGTCCCTCGGAGGACAAAAGGTGGGGGATACATATAATAAATAAGGGGGGAACTGGGCTAGAAATGTAATGGTCTCCCCTCCTGTGCAATACAAAGGGCCCACGCGCGTGCAAGGCGCACGATCTAATGAACGGTCTCGCATACACCACCTGTCCCTAAACGTGTGGGACTACAAGGCCTACTCTCCGCAACCAGCACCGGTAATAGGAGCTGCGGACGGCTATGCACCTCCAGCCTTTTCTCGATCGCTTCGCACGCCCTCGCGGGACGCGTCCGCCGCCTCCAAGGCCCCGCCCCTCGCCGCGCGCCCTCGTGTTCCGGTTGGATGGCGACCGCTGTCCATCCGGGCCCTGGTCCCCGCCCACCCGCCGCCGAGGGCGCGTGATCGATTCGCCATGCAGCAGGAGCTGCCCGCGTCCTGGTAAGGGGCCGGGAGGGGTCGTTTTATCCCCCCCTCCTGCTTTGTGCGCGTGCATGCAGCTGGGTGGGCAGTGCGGTGTGGCCTGCCTGCTCTCCTTGCACGGGGCGCTTGCACGAGCAAATGCGTCCCTAATGCACAGCCATCGGGGCCGATGGCCCGCTATGGCTTGAGCCCCGAATCTCTGGGAAGTCGTTCGCCCCACCAAGGGCACTTGCAGAAAGACAGGTCCAGGGGCCCTGGTGGTTTCCGGTGCATTGGAGCCCCCTGAATTAGCTGGGTCACATGGCCTTGCCCTCTGGCTGCTCCCTAGGAATTTTTCTGAAACCCAAGGCACTGTTCCTACATCCCTCCTTACAAATAGGGTGTCCTCGGGAGGAAGGGCCTCTAAGGGCCTCACACGTACTTTGCAGCATATATAAATAAGCTTATGCAGAATTTTGCGGGGGGTTTTTTCCCTCCTGGACCTGAGCCCAGATTTTGCTAGATACAAATGAAGATTTAGGAGCAAGGAATTGGCCTTCTTGCCCCATCTAAACTTGCTTCTGTTTTTAAGCAAAGTTGGAGAGTGTGTGACGGCTGGGAATGGCCGGTGGCGCAGTGGTAATTTTGAAGTGCTCCTTCTGGAAGCACTCCATAGACCTGCTTCCCAGGAGAGCCCAAAAATCCAGCTGTGTCAATCCACACCAGCCAACCTCGTGGAGCACTTTTCATTTCTACCAGGGACAGGTCTTTTGTAAATCTAATAGTTTTGAATTGCCCATTCAAGGGCAAGCTACCCACAAATGCATTCCAGTAGGAAACCATAGATTGTTGCTGGGAAATCCATTTCCCCCCAGCTCCTGGGAGGACCCCGGCTAAGCTCAGAAGAAACGGAAGTCTGCGCTCTGCTAGAAGGACAGTGGCATCTTAATATTCGGCATTCTGTCCCTTCCAGGGCACCGAAGCGCACAGTCTGGTTGAATACTGGAGCACCCATGCCGCTTTTGGGGCTGGGCACCTTCCGCCTGCAGGGCGAAGAGGCAGTACAGCTCAGCCTGGACGCTGCTCTGGAGAACGGCTACCGCTTGCTGGACACAGCTGCCGTCTATCACAACGAGGCCGCCATTGGCCACGCACTGGGCAAGCTGCTGCCACGCCACGGCCTCACTCGCAGCGACGTCTTCCTGACCAGCAAGTTGAGCCCAAGGGACCACGGAGAGGAACTGGCTGAAGAAGCCTGCCTCAGAAGCCTGAAGGAACTGGGCTGTGATTACTTGGACCTCTACCTCATCCACTGGCCAGGCACGCAAGGACGGCCCCAGGAGGACCCAGGAAACCGGGAACGCCGTCGACAGAGCTGGCGGGCTCTGGAGAGGCTGCATGGAGCCGGGAAGCTCCGAGCCATCGGTGTTTCTAATTACACCGTCCGACACCTAGAGGAGCTGCTGGAGGACTGCCAGGTGCGCCCAGCAGTTCTCCAAGTGGAATTCCACCCAGAACTGGTGCAGTCGGAGCTGCTGTCCTTCTGTCGCCAGGAGGGCATCCACCTACAGGCCTACTCGTCACTTGGGGCCGGCCAGTTAGTGGGGAGGCCAGAGGTGGCGAATATCGCTGCGAGGCGAGGGCAGTCACCCGCCCAGGTCTTGCTGCGCTGGGCTCTTCAGCAAGGCGTCAGCGTGATCCCCAAGTCGGCCTCTCCCAGTCGTGTGGCTGAAAACAGCCAGCTCTGGAGCTGGGACTTGAGCCAAGCAGATATGGAAGAACTGAGCTCAATGGATTGTGGGAAACACTACTGCTGGGACCCCAGCGGTGTGGCCTAGGAGTGCAGGGCAGAGGCAAGAGCGGTGGCAAAACCCGGTCCAGAAGAAAAGACCCACCTGGCTCCGAGGTGCAACCTGGCCTCCAAATCTGGAATGGTATGGCCTTCCTCTTCCACTGCAACCAGCATTTGAGGCCTCTCTCCGAGCTTCACCCCCCACTCCATTTTTGCTGGACAGCCGTTTTCAGCCATTTGGCTTGGAGGGAGAAAGACGGGGGCTGCAGGGGGACAAATCATGCCCTCCCCTCTGCATTCTCCCTCACTCTTTACCCCCTCACTGAGGCCGAGTTCCCAGCCTTGGTGTGGCAGGCAGTGCTTCCCATGCTGAGCACTCTTGTCACCGACCTCAGACATGGCAATCTGAAGTATTCTGCATCCGCCTAGACCATGCCTAGCCGGCAGTAAAATCGCTCGCTCCCTAATCTTGTTCCCGTTTGCGGTGGGTCATCTTTATTTATGGGAAAGGGAGCAGAGGGCTCAGCCCAGTGGGGCTGCTGCGTCCCTCATCAGAGGAGGATGGTCACAGAGGCGGTTCTCGTCTCCGGATCCCTCCTCTGCTGAAAGTCAGCTGAATGGCTGAGTTTGACTGTCTAGCTGCAGCAATTCCAATGGGGAAGGAAGCAGGCCGGAGCACTGCAGGGCATCTGGCTGACCGCCGTCCCCTGGAACATCCTCTTCTTCTGCCTTTTCTCTGAGGTCACCCGTAGGACCTCAGAGGAGCAGCCACTGTACTTTGTTCTACATCAGCGGTGAGGTGGGATTTGAGTGTGGAGTACCAGCTCTGAGGTTTGGCCTTTTTCCTCTCCTTCCAGACACATTTGGACTGCAATACCCAGAACTCCCAGTGAAGAGCCCGACCGGATGGGAATTCTGGGAGTTGCAGTCCTAATGCCTCTGAAGGCCAACCAGGTTGGGGACAGCGGCATAACAGCATACAGCCCTCGTAAGGACCATAGGATCACTCTGTAAGAAATCTGGAAGATAATTAACATCAACTGTAATCATATCGCATCTGTCCCAACAATGTTTAATTTTAACGAAGGAACAGCACAATGAGAGCTGCAAGTTTTCCTCTTCCCTGCTCAAACTATCAGGACCCAGAAACAGAATTCTAAAGCACAAGAATCCAAAATCTGTGATTCCCTTTGCGTATTTCCAGATTCTTTTGTGATGTAGCAAAGGCCCACTTATTGTTTTGACTGGCTTCTACTGCGGGATGGTGCTTCTGTCCTAGAAAAGTTGATGAGCAGGAGAACAATAAATGATGGCCTGAAATGTAGTCAAAGGCAGTGACACACCATAAGACAGAATTAACATTTAATAAAAGCTCATACAAATTTCTCCATAGGGAAATAAACTTAGGGCTCTTACGTTAGCAATGAATTCAGTGTTTTTTCTTTTGTGAAGGTACTGTCTGTAGAAGGTGTAGGATGAGATCCCCTCAGAATTAAGGGTGTAGGATACTATGTGTGAGAGAGGGTAGAAAAGGCGTCGATCCCATACAGGTCAGATTCTTACGCATCATGGTATACTGGGGGGGACTTTTGTAGGGAGGTTGGGAATAGAAGTGCTAAGCAATGACCCATACCCACCCTTCAGATATTTGGGGACAGCACAGTGAAGAGTGTGCCACACTGACCCTGTAGATGCATCCCTCTGCCCCTTTCCCTCATTTGTAACAGACAGTGGTCAAACACCATCACGGGGAGCTTGGGGGGCTCGCATTGCCCGGAGAACTTCGATGCCACCATGACTGCAGAGTCTCCTTCCAGCCAGACCTGTGGCGCATTTGGGTGGCGGTCCCAGCGCTCTTGGGGCGTGGCAACTTCTGCAAGAGAGGGGGAGATGTGGTCTTCACTCTTGGTCTCTCTGTTTCTCTGTGTCACACCCACCGACCTCCTACCCCACATTCAGACAGTCTTGTCTTGGCTTCATGATACGGGATATGAACGAGCTTTTCCTCAATACACAGAGCTCTGTCCTGTGAGCCAGCAAACAGAATGGGAAGTCTACAGCTGGCTCCTGTTTCCTGTTTCATGTGGCCCAGAAACTGAAGTTCGAGTCAGCCAGGATGTCAAGCCATGGTTTGAAGTGGGTTCTAACCAAGTCCCAACAAGCCAGGACATTAAACCAACTTTGTATCATGGTTTGATAGCCTGGCTTGTTCCAAAGCTGTTTGCCATGGCTTGCCAACTTGAACAAAACAGGAAATTATAAGGTAACCAAAGGCTTCCTGGTTTATCTCAGCTCATTCTACCATACATACCAGCAAACCTGAGAAATGATTGAACCCACCCTTTGTCTGTTTTTCTGTGTGCATGTGTCCAGTTTTGCTAGAATTATACCACCAACTGTGCACAATTGTAGACTTTTGTACCATGGGTTATACACCCAAGACAAGTGCTCTGACCAGTATAAGTGTCAATCAAAAAATGTTAATACCTTTGGTGTTTCAAGCCCCCCTTTCCCACAAGCATAATGCAACACCCCCAGTAGGTATTAACAAGAACGGTCCCCATCATGAGTGATAATGGTGACACAAACGGAGTGTGAGCGTCAGCTTTGTGTGTGCACATGCTTCCAGAAACAGGTCTTCATAAAGGTGCCTCACCTGCAGTGCACCGTGGAATTCGTCACTCATCCTGCGCAGTTCCTGCCCATACCGCTGGGCAGCCCACAAGATGGGTGGGGCAGAGCGTGAGCGTGCCCGGAAAGCGCCCACCTCATCTGGGGCTTCGGAATCCGGCAAGGGGGGGTCTGATCCAATGCGGCGTCTCAGCTCTAGCACAGGGCAGGGGAAGCAAAAATCCAAAGACAGGGATGGGGGTTACACCACGCTTGCAAAGGAGCTGTTCACGCATTGTGCAAACTGATTTTTACAGGGTTTCGGGCACAGAAAAAAACTGTAGTGGATTAGATACTGCTGTTTCCGCTAACCTGGCATTTTCCTGATGTGTCGGGGCTGCAGTTCCCGTTCTACCCAGCTTAGACCCCTGTATGAATCTTTAGAATGGCAGGCTAACATCGCAAGGCTGCAGTGCGGCGCTCAGTTACCTGGATGAAAGTCCCACTGCATTCAGTATATGGGGTTTTACCGTTAATCTCTCTATTCATTATATGTACATTGATTTGCATAGAACCATTTGTCATGAAGAAATACGGGTTGGTTGCTGCATGTCAGGACGGGGAGCCTTTTTTTCCCTCTCTCTCGAGGGCTGTGTATTTTTAAGGAGGCCCTTGACTGAGGAAGAATGGGGGAGAACTGTACAGAAGTTGCAGAACCACCAATGGTCAGTGGCTGGGAAAGGGCCTGGCCATGGGGGAGGGGGGCGAACTGGGACCCACGCCTTAGTGGGGCTGCTCTCAGGGGCTTCTTGCAGGTGGTGGGCAAGACGGATGCCCCAAATAACTACAGCATGCCCATGGTTTAATTTCTTTGCCCTGTCCCTGCTCTCTCAGCATACGGACAGAACACCATTTCACATATTTGATGAAGCAATTTCTCGTCCTTGAACTCTAGGCCACATTAACGTCACAATCTGTATACACTTCTCTTGGAGTAAGTCCCACTGATAAAGCGGGACTCCTACCTAAAGCAGGCCTAGGATTGCCCTGCTTATCTGCTTCTGTTGCCACAGGATACTAAGAAGGCCATTCCAGAATCCTGACAATGTTTGCTCAGAAGCAATTTCCTCTGCTCATCATGGGACCTGGCTCCCCTCAAAAGTTTGCTTAGACTTCCTGCTTTGGAATTGGTTTTCCAGACTAGTGTTTAAACAAGCCGGGCCAAGGTTTCCCCTACCGGCGTTCCTCAGAAGATTGGACTGCATTTCCCAGGGTGGGGAATTCTGGGAGCGTCAGTCCAGTACTAGGTTAAGCTACTACAGATGGACATGGGAAAAGAATGTAACACTTTTAAGGGCAGGAACGGCTTGACTGAGTAGTTCATCAAACAGAAAAAGCAGAAATCGGCTAAACTGACGGTGGAGGATTTACGGAGCTATAACAAAGGTTCCCCGCCTGCTGCCCATGTATGCACAGATGCACCCCAGCTGCTTGCTATCCTCAGGATCGTACGCCAAATCTGGCTGGTGCATATTCTGGCCCTCAGGTGGCCATGCCCCCATTCACCCAAGTGCCAAGGGTTTGGTGGTTCCATCACTTTCATGCAGCTCCTCCCATTTCCAGTTCTAAAAAAGCTGAGCTAAAGTTCAGTTCCTGACAAGAAGAGCTTTAACCTAAAATAGGCTGGTCTTTTTGGTCGGGCACCTTTCGTCTTCACACCTGTCCACCACTGGTGTCTGGCCCCTGACAGTTATTCTGAAGTTGAATTTGGAAAAGGTTAGTCCCCACGCAGGGGTAGACAAGAGGTGGATTGAGATCAGTTGGTAGATTTCTGGGTGCTGAGAGCCAATGTAGTGTAATGGCTAGAAGACTAGACTGGGCCTGGGGAGACCTGGAGACTGGGGAGACTATAACACCCCCACTTGGGCATGAAGCTCATTGGATATCTTCGGGCCAATCACTGACTCTCTGCCTCCTCTACCTCACAGGGTTGTTGTGAAGGTGAAATGGAAGGGGTTAAGTAACAGGACTTGGGTTCCTTGCAGGAAAAGAAAAGTGGACTATAGATAAAATAACCAGATCAGCAAGGATTTTTGACTCCCAGATGTCTAATTTTAACAACGAAGCATCTCCCCATGTCAATTAAGACTGCTGATAGCTTGTGCAACCCAGAAACAGAGTTTGGCAGGAACGCAAGTTGAGATCAGTAGTGAAACTCAAAAGCTCAGGGGGTCTCAGTTCTTTCATTCTACCTTTCTTGCATCTGGTCCTAGCTGCTGGATTATGGGATTCCGGTAAAATCCAGGGAAGATTCCATGAGTCTCAAAGGGCCCCACGAAGAGAAACATGCTTCTCAAGTTCCCAATTTCCACTGTACAAACCTGAATTTTCACCGCTAGCCACACTGGCTGGATCCTTGTTCCTTCCTGCAGCTCCTCTGCCGGTCAGCTTGGGATCTTGCGGTTCTTTCTCTCCAGTCAGGAAAGTATCATCTTCATGATACTCAGCAATCTGGAACATTGTCAGGGGGCTGGCATGGCCCCCCACCCACCCAACTTGCCGCTTTCCTGCTGGGGAAGAAAGGAAGGGGGATTATGGGAGCACAGGAAGCTTTGTATAGCATAAGGCCATTGGTCAGCTGAGTCCGGAATTTTAGACACTGCATAGTTTGGCAGACTCGGTAAGTAATTAAACCATTATGATTCTGGTTCTTTATGATGAACCAGAAATTATTATGGTTCATTATGATTGGCTTGTGCCATCCAAACCTGGGCAGTGGTGCTTATTTAAGGGTTAGTCAACCCTCACAGAACCCATGGCCTGTTTAGGGTTGTGCAAGGGTTGTTTAACCTTTGGATAACCCCTGCCAGCCACGTTTGGATGACAAGCCACAGCAGCCCCTGCTCAGGACTTGCATGTTAGAACAGCAGCCAGCGTGCCCTGCCTGGACATGCTTGGGATCAAATCTGGAACCTCCTGTGGGCAAAGCTGGAGTTCTCCTATTGAATTACCATCAGAAGCCTTTACTGAAGTGTTTGACGCCCAACCTGCTGGCTTGGGTATTTTCGGGTTAGGGTATTGTGACAGTACGCGCCATTCGTTGGCGCTTGCTTGACGACTGTTGCGCTGTTTCCCTTTTGGAGCAAAGGTGGGGGCAGAAGGAATAATGACATAGACCATGTCCATTTCGTCACTCAGTGGTTGAGCTGCGAACCAGGAAGCCTCCCGCTCAAATCATGATTTCTGCTCTGACTCATCAAGGCACAACTATCCTTCCTTGACTTCAGCCCTCTCCAAAGCCCTCCTTCTGCAACACAAAGGCAAAAACACCCGCCTAGTTTGCAGGGCTGTTTGTTCTCATCCAGATTGTTAAAATAGCTCTGTGCAAAAGAAGAGGCCTGCTGGATCCGACGGAAGACCAGGATCTGGTGTCTCCCAGGGGCAAGCCTTGGGGAAGCTCCCAGGCCAGGAGTTGAGGCTGCAGCCCTCTCAGGCAGTGGATCACCACAGCCTGATGCACAGAGGTGGACTGCTTCCGATCATGGAGGTTCTGCACAGTTAATCGCTGCGTTCCTTCAAGAAGTTGCGGGATCCCCTTGTAAAGCCCCCAGCCTTGTGGGCACATTTTGTGGCAGTGAGTTCTGTAGACTCATTGTGCACTGCACGCAGCCTTAGGAACAGAGGGATGCCGCTTCTGCCGAGACAGACCCTCGGCCCATCGTCCCCAGCATTGCCACAGCTCCGTGGCTCCAGCATTTCCGGCGCGAGTTTCACCCATCCCGCGCCGGCTGCCGACCATTTTCGCCGGCGAGCCCCCCAAACTCGAGCTCGGGGGAAAGTTCTGTCTCCGCGCCGCGCATCGGCTCGCAAAGCAACTTCCTCATCGGGAAAAGCCAAAACCTTCCACTGACAGCCAGCCCCCCGTTCTGCGCTCTATCAGCAGCCTCCCGCCTTGGCGTACTTTAATATTTGGATGTAAATCCCACAGGCACCCCTTTCAAAGTCTGCCCCTTGCTCCCCGGCAGTCTAAAATACCTTCGCTTCGACCAACTCGCTACCTGCAGCCTTGCAATCCCTCCGTCCCTGACCTGCTGAATTAGGGGCTCCCTTTTATCGATTCTCTCCCTCTCCCTCTCCCTCTCCCTCTCTCCCTCTCACTCACACACACACACACACACACACACCATTTACTCGCGGGGAGAAAACCCATCAAGATGGTGCAAAAACAATTTTGCGGGGGACACCAAAAAACAAGCCTTAGCCCGAGATAAAAGCACGATCCGCAGTAAAACACGAAAACAACGCCATAATTGAAAAGCCTAGGCGAAAAAGACGTGTCTTCGCACTGGTTCGAAAAGCCATTTCCTCAGTGATGGATTTTCCTGCCTCCATGTTCATTCTTCCCAAATCTTAGGGTTGCTTCTTCCTTTTGCTTTGGCGCGCCGGGGTTTTTCATTCCCCCCCCCCCACACCCCAGATCTCGGGGACTTTCACTTCCTCCCTCCTGGATTTAAGATTATTAATTTCTCCCGCCACTTCCTCTTTCCAACCCATGCAGCCCACCCTTCTACCCCCCCCCCCCATTACCTAAATAAGGGTCGCTTCCCTTTCTTTTTTCCTTAGCTGTTTACAGACTGCAGAGACCCGCCACTGTCGCCCGGGCGATGGAGAACTGCCACCGCTTCTGCCCAATCAAGGCCGGGGATGCCGATGCTCCGCCTCCCGTTGCGCTCAGCTCCTCCCACCTCCTGGGTTTCCACCTCCTCGCACATTTAATTAATACAGAAAGGTATGCAGGGGATCCCCAGCACTTAACCCTTTCGAGAGATGCGTTCACTGCATCTTTCATGGATGTTATTTCACGGGATCCAAATAGATCATTGAGGAAAGAGGCACATAAAGGAAATTGAGGCACGCTGCTCCCCTAGCACATCCTCGTCCATTCAGATCAGGCAGCACATTGGACTTGGGTGCCAGTTATCCCCAGACCACAGAAACACATAATGGTGTCCCCATTTTGGGAAACAGAAAGCAGAGTTGCTAACCCCGTTTTCTGTCCAGATTGCAACTGGCACAGATGGTGATAGGGCCAAAGCTGAAGCAGTTGTATGCGGCGGGAAATCTGTGCCGCTTGCCTCTGAGTAGACAAGCACAGGCTTGCGCGGTTCATATCCTGCAATTTCTGCTGCCGTCTTTTGAGTGATTATGAACCTCTGCAGTAATGCCAAAATAAGATGCACTCCACGTATGGCAGTCCTGGTCCTTGGCCTGGCAGGTGATCCCGAGGCGTGCCTCTCTACAGCTAGTTAGCCCCAGGCTAACCAGCAGCTGAAGATGGGCGTACTTGCTGGCACGGAGTGGGGAACAACACCCTGCAGCTGGGCCTTTTCGTCATTTCTACCACTTGGTCGCCTGAGGGGCAGAGAGAGCCATGGAGCAAGCAGGCCGGGTCATCTCCAGTTCCTCATGCCCCCCATTATCAGGGCCAGAGCAGAGGCAAGCAAAGAAGCAACCGTGCAGAGAAGCTGCAGAGGGCTCCTGTCCCCTGCTGGGCGTGGGACCTTCGCAGCTGCCCAGTTGTGCCTACCCTCAGTGGGATCCCAGGGTAAATGGCCGCTAAAGTCGACCACAGCTATTCATCAGCTGGTGCCAGGTGTTCTTCCCATTGCCGGGATGGTCTTCCTGGGAGGCAGGAGCACTGTTGCTTTAGGTCAAGTCCTCTGACTCGTGGCGCCCCGTGAATAAGAGCCCTCCAAAATGACCAGGCCTTGGCCAGCCCTGCTCAGCTCTCGTAAGCTCAAGTTCACAGTTGGTTTTCCTCTTCTTCTTTTGCCTTTGACTTTCTGTAGCATGATGGTCTTCCCATGATGCGCCCAAAGTAGGACTGCCTCAGTTTTGTCATTTTTGCTTCTAGGGAAAGCTCTGTCTTGATTTGATCTAGGAGCCACGTGTTCATCTTTCTGTCTTATTTGCAAAGCTCTCCCCCAGTACCATGTTTCAAATGCATGCATTTTCTTCCTGTCTGTTTTCTTCTCTGTCCAGCTTTCACACCCCTCTGTATTGATTGGGAATACAATAGTACAAATAATCTTCGTTTTACTAGGCCCTAAAAAGATTCTGAATTGAAGTTTTCCATGGGTAGCTGTGGATGTTTTTTCCTAAATTAATGTTGGGAAGGTCATACAGCTTCCCGCCACCCCCACTGTAAACTTCTCTCTTTGCACCCTCCCACTGGAAAGCTTTTTCTTTCTAAGCTTCATTGCCATTCATTGGCATAACTTTCTTTGGGGGAAGGGGCTCCCAGAAACCCAAGACAGTGTACATGATCCTTCTGTGACATTTTGCTGTCACAACGGCCCTGTGAGGTAGGTTTGGCTAAACACTGACCTGTTCAAAGCCACAGGTGAGCTTCCTGGTTGGGTGAGGCTTAGAACCAGGTCTCTCTAGTCCTGGTTGGGCAGTTTTACCCAACCTCGCATGAACCGGAGCCTTCTAGATACTTTGGACTTCAGCCCCCATAAGCCCCAGCCAGACAACGGACAGAAATACCACACATCATAGTCCAAATTATTTTGGGGGCATAAGGTTGAAGAAAGCTAAGCAAAATACCGGACTGGCTCCCCTCTTCAGTGGCACCTTCTGTGATACAAGGGCTTATTTACATGTATGCAGAGGCTGAGCTGGGAGGAAGGGTTCACCGTTTTAGCCCTTCCGCAGTTTCATCAGAAGTCTGAAGGAATCCCTGTTGCCACAGGACTTGCAGCTGAGCCGAGTTAGCCGCTGCCTCCCATTCTGCTCCCAGCGCAGACTCATTTCCTGCGACACCCGCCCTGACCCCATCTCCTTGTCTAGCAGATGAGACCGAAGATGAGTCACCCCCACCCATCACTTCTCTTAGGCCTTCTGGAACCATCCTAGCTGCCACTGAAACACATCGTAAGATTTCTCTGCTATGCTTTGTCGGTAGCTACCCCAGCAGAGAGAGAGAATCAAGCAATGAGTCAAAGGGAGAAGGGCTCTGCCGTACCTTTTGCCATCCCAGGCAGGAGCTAAGGGATCCCAGCAAGCTAATTCAGACCCCGACAACAAGCATCATAATTTAGGTTGCAGTCCTATGCAGGTTTAGACAGAAAGAGCTCCTCCAACTCCCAGCGTTCCCCAATCAGCATAGTTGGGAGTTGTAGAATTCATGTATTTATTTGGGGGGGAGCATAATAGGGTGGGGTGGGATGGAAGGAGATCTTAAACACAGAGTACTCCGCATGCAGGTGTGTGTGAATTTGTTTATAGATAATTCTTTGTCCATCCTTGCACTTGAGAATAGTGTTGAAATTGGTGCTGAAGGAAAATGACATCAACAGCAGTTTAAACTATTTTAAATCTCAATTTAAAAAATAATGGATGCCTATGGAATTGGAGATGTTTCATTTATAAGTACATACACATACAGAGATATGTGTACTGATTTTATATCATTATAACTAGGATTTCCCCACTCTCTGTTGTTAATTTTTAACATTATGGTTGGACAGCAAAAGTAAATATATTAAGAGTTAGGGTGAAACTGGAAAAGCCCAGGTTTAACTTTCCATTCAGCCATGGGAGTGCAAATTTTGCTGGAATCTGTGCAGAAATATCTTTCTCAATTCCACATCAGTTAAAGGGTATTCTTATGCTTTGTCCATTTTTATTAGTTTCTTTTAAAAAGTACCTTTAAAATAACCTCTCAAAGTTATTGAGAGTAGTAGCTGTGTTAGTCTGGGGGCAGGAAAAACAACGGTCTCGTAGCATTTTATCGATCAACACATTTATTCTAATATCTGCTTTTGTGGACCAGAATAAATTTGTTAGCTTTTAGGCTTCCACAAGACACTTGGTTGAAATTGTTATTGTTTCACCAGAAGGGTGTACATATACACACATTTCCCAGGGATATGCAGTTGAAATTGAGTCTTAAAGTTGGTTTTTGTTTACCAATGCCTTGATATTCACATTGAGAGCTTGCTTGAGTTCTGTGTATCTCACTGCTGTGGGCAGGCTGTTTGTGAATTTTAATAACCAGCCTTGTTGTGCCAGTTCTTTGGTGGGAGGTTGAGAATGGCAATTTCTCTTAGGGATAGAAAGGAACGGTTAATATATTTAGCGAACATTAATAAAAGCTCCTGGGGGCACAATGGGGCATTTTATAGTTTTTATTAAATGGTGTGTTTGGGAATCTGAGGAGAACGGCTTCTTACTCTGAGCATTGGGATAAAACTGGGAAGCAGAGGAAATAATTGGAAAATGTCCTACGGGAACTTTTCCTGGAAAAGTGCAGAAATCCCCGTGGGTGTATATTAACGTATATAGTAACAGGAGAGCGAAGTTAGCTACAGGTGCCCATACTTAAGATGGCGGCCGGAAAGCGTAGTGACGCTCTAGGCAGTGGCGTCTCTGCGGTATGTGCCATTCACGACGCTGCATACGCCATTTGCTCAAGAGAAAGAGGCGGGCGCTGGAGGAGGTCTAGGTTTCGTCACGCCAAGCCGGTGAAAAGGAGGGGGGCGGGCCTTGCGCACTTTGCGCAGCTCGGGGCTGCCGGGGAAGTCACGCAACTGGGGCGGCTTTAGGTCCGGGGATTATCTCTCCCCCACCTCCCCCGAGCTGGGGGAGACGACGGCGATGCGGGCTGCCTGTTGATCGAGACCCAGGAGGTAGCGGAGGGACCCAGGCGTTCGAGAGGAGGCGGGGCGTCTAGAGGATCGAGGAAGGACGGATTAAAGGAACCCAGCATCCCAAAACTGAAACTGAGGGCGGGGGAGACACCAAGGGGACCCAGGTGTCCGAGAACCTGGAGGAAGCCGGATTGAAGAATCTAGCTACCTAAGAATTTGGGGGGGGGGGTAAGGGGCCCAGGTGTCCGAGATTCGACTGGAAGATTAAGGGCGTTTAGATAGCTGATAATTGGACGCTGTGCGGCCCAGATGCGGGAGGAAGGAATAAGGGACCCCGACACCTGAGTATTACAGGGAAAGAGTGCCCAGGTGCGTGGAGGAGGTGGGGCAGGGAGTATCCAGGTGCTTGAGGAACCATCTCGAAACCTACTGGCGGGTACATAGGCCAGAGCAGCAGGCAGGTCTGTATGTTTTTTGATCGGGGGAGGGACAGAGGCTGGGGGCATCTGGGGAGTGCAGCACCTTAGAGGCAGCTTATCACTCCTATACAGGATTGGGCAGGACCCAGATTTTGAGCAACTGGGACCTGGTACAGCTTTTTTAGCATAGGAGGGATCTCTTTTTCCCACCCCAGGAATTCTTCCCTGCATGCCCTCTTAGCAGAGAAGGGTGGGTGGGTGCCTGCGACTTCTGTTTCTCAGCCCTCCCCCATTTTTTACACCTCTCATGGAACTTGCGAACTACCCTTGATTCATCTGCACAAGGGGCCCGCCTTCTGCAGCCCTGAAGGATGTAACCCTCCCCTCACATGGGGGCAGCTCTTCCCATCTTGGCAAGTGGGCTTGGCGATGGTGGCAGTGCCCCCTTGATGCCGGCATCCTGGAAATGATGCCCTGAATGGATTTGGGACAGCCCTTGCTGACAACCAGGATGGCCGAGACCATCAGCAACCTGAGCTTCATCGTGCCGGCCTCACGCCTCACACCTGCCTTCCCACCTGCCGTCAAGGTGGGGCTTACGGCCCTCTACACTGCCCTGTATGCCTTGCTTTTCCTCTCGGTCTATGCCCAGCTCTGGCTGGTTCTCTTGTACCGCCATAAGAAGTTCAGCTATCAGACCGTCTTCCTCTTCCTCTGCCTCATCTGGGCTGCCCTGCGCACGACGCTCTTCTCCTTCTACTTCAGGAACACCCTCAAGGCCAACCACCTGAGCCCCTTCTTCTTCTGGCTTCTCTACTGCTGTCCTGTCTGCCTGCAGTTCTTCACCTTGACCCTCATGAACCTGTACTTTGCCCAGGTAAATGCTAAATGCCCAGGGGGCTTGTGAGTAAAGATGCAAAATCAGATTCTGTGGATGGCTGCTCTATAGTACTGGCTTTTATGGGGGGGGGGACATAAAAAGGGGCCATCTGGGTTTTTTGTGGTGTTTATCATTTTCATTTGAATTGGGGTGGGCAACTTGTAGCCATCCAGATGTTATGGCCTATGACTTGCATTATCCCTAACCATTGGTCCTGCTAGCCAGGGCTCATGGGAGTTGTAGGCCAGAGCATTTGGGAAACAGCAGCTTGCCCACCCTGACTTAAATCCTTGTGGACTTCCTCGTGTGTGGGTGCCTCATTCCTCCAGACTGTGAAATGGGCCTAGTAGGAAAAGCAGACCTCATGCCTTCGTATGTCTGTATTGGCATGAAGTGTCTGCAAGCTGGTGCTCACGGTTCTAAAAGAATAAAAATTGTGTTGTCATGAGAAGCTGCTTTTTTATCATTAGAGCCCCAATGTGGATCGGAGGAGAGGTGAGGGGGAGCGCCACAATAATGGACCATAGAACAACGTACAACTTTAAAAGTCACAGTTTAAGAAAACTGCCACAATAAGCTGCAATTAAAGCAGTGGCAGAACTGGGTATTAAAAGACTGACATAGGCTGCAATCCTGCAACGCTTTTCTGAACTCAGTGAGGCCTGTTTCTGCATAGATAAGCATAGAGTTGTGCTGTCAATGTGTGTCTCCCCCCATTTCTGGCTGGAAGACAGTGCCCCAGGCCCTCAGCCCCACCACAATGGAGGTGCTGCGTCTGAGCTGCACTGGCTCGACCATTAGCCGCGACGAGGCAGACCACAGGGCCTGCAGAGCAGAACTTCACAGCCCAGCAGGTCGATACAGGAGCAGATTGTCCTTTCTGTCCTCGAACTGCAGAAATCCTGCTCATAGCACAGATTTGGTCGCCTGCCTTTGTTGGGTCCAGCTGTCTTAGCCGCAGACTTTGGGTGCCCTCTCTGGTCACCCTGAGTGCCAGCTTTTCAGTTCAAAAGACGGGTTCCAGATCCAGCGAACCTGGAAGTCCTTCTGCTTCAGATTTCTCCTTGGCCTGCAAGCTGCTGTCCCAGCCCCCTTGTCAGCAACCACAGGGCAGGGTGAGCTGTTGTCTGGCGCTCTGAAATGGAGATTTTCAAGTGCCTTGAATGCTCCAAAGGCATTACTGAACTGATGTGATTTTCATTCTGCAAAGGTGGGGAGGAGTTCAACTGAAAATGGAGGAAAGGCTTTCCTGAAGTCACATGGGGGTGAGGAATCTCTACCATAGCCTTCCCCAACCAGGCTCCCCCCAGATGTGTTGCACTGGGAACTCCTGTTACGACTCCCAGCATGCCACTGGGGAAGGCCGTTTTACTAGACCTGGGGCCGGCAACCTTCAACACTCAAAGAGCCATTTGGACCCGTTTCCTACACACAAGAAAACACCAGGAGCCGCAAAATCCTTTTGACATCTAAAATGAAGATAACACTGCATATTTCATTTTTTACCCTAATGCTATGTATATCTTCCTTATGATTTAGCTGCAGCTCTTGTTCAGTCACTAAAAACTGTTATTTTTAATCTTACATTATAAACTAGTAGGATTCCTTCATATATTTTTGAATAGGAGAACAGCTTCCCGAAGAGTCAAAGTCAGTGCTAAAGGGCTGCATGCATTAAACAGCAAACCCCATAAGTTCGTCAGCAGTAAAAGCAAATGAATCTACCCATGTATCATTAAATGTTTGGTTTTCTTCAGAAACTTTTTCTTCGATTTGGCAGCGTTTTGTGTAACATGAGAGCCTGCAGGAAGCTTGTTTAGCAGAGGAATGTAGCTAATTTACTTAACTAGCTAGCGCTGCCTGAGTGGAGCTTCGAACAGATCAACGGCCGTGCCGGCGCGTGCTTTGAGCGACGGAGCCACAGCAGAGGGGTTCAAGAGCCACGTGCGGCTCCGGAGCCGCGGGTTGCCGACCCCTATACTAGACTGATGACCTTGGAAACCACCAGATTTCTCCTTGGATTTAGCCATCATCAAGTTTCTAGTCCTTGAGGAAATAGGAAGAGAGAACAGCAGTATCGGCTAAAGAGAAGCAGAAGAGAATTGGGAGGTGTTCTGCTTCCTCTCCCCCACCCCAGTCCCTGTGTTTCTTCCTCTCTATCCTGGGCACACACAGGATGAGAGAAGTCTTGTCGGCTTGCCCGGTGCCCCACAGCATGGTTGCAACGGTCCTTCCCACCGTTTGGCTACTGATCTACTTCCTGGAATGATCGGTGGTGCAGTGGTGGTTCCCAATCCTAGCAGCTGGCCGGGTTCGTCGTGGAGATAGGCAGGACTCGAGGTCGCCGCAGAAGGGAGCACACCCAGGCTCCCGTCTCTGTCAGGCCCAGGGCAGTATGGCAGCGAGACGTGTCCCTCATCATCCCCGTGTGCTTCAGGTCCTGGCCTGCCCACCGCGGCTCCCTCGGACAACGAGTGTGGGTGCCGAATGCCCGTCAGGACAGAGCCACTGCGAAGCGCGAGGGTGGGGTTCGCGGGCCCAGGACAGCTTTGCAGAAGTTCAGACAACCCTGAAGGCACATGGCACACACACAGTATCCCCGCACCGAACGGACTTCAAATCCAGAAATGCAGGATGCCGATAGGAAGTGGGGAGGGGCAAGAGAGTGGAGTGGCCTCTTTGTGGGGGTGGGGAGATGGCTGGTACCCCGAGAGGGAGCACGCCTGCTCGGAGAGGAGGCAGCATTTTGTAGGTCGGTCCCCTTCGGTCTGGCGATGCTAATCCACCCCTTCTCCCTCCAGGTGGTTTTCAAGGCCAAGGCAAAATACCGCCCCGAACTCACCAAAGGCCTGTAAGTATCTGTGTGTCCGGTCGTCTCTGGGGAACATCGCATTAGCCCCAGCCTTCCCCACCCTGGTTCTCTCCAGATGAGTTGGACTACAACTCCCAACATGGCCCCAGCCAGGATGTGTGCTGGCTGGGAGTGTTAGGACCTGTAGCTAACACGCCCGGGGGGTGCTGAGCTGATGGAGGCTTCCACAGCGTCTTTTTCCACATACGCCTTTCCAGGAAGGTGAGGGGAGAGACAAGAAAAATTGTTTCCTTCTATTTTAAACCCCGTCACATTGCTTGTCTCTAGCAAAATAAATGTAAAGTGCCTCTTAATGTCAAATCAGTAAAACAGACAAATTGCGAATGTGAAAATGTGACGGGGGAATGTGTAGGATGGGTTGAGCTTCAGCCTCAGAAACGCCCTCTGAGGTTGGAACTGGGACGGCGATCTGGCAGGTTCCTACGGCCAGGTGGCTTCGGAGATGGAAGGCCGTTGTTGGGGAGGGGGGGTCGTGGAGAGGAGCAGCAAGGCACCGCCATCCTCTGAAGGTTCTGTGGTTCCTCAGTTTCTCCTCCTCACATAGAGGGGGGAACATTTGGATGGCCAAAAGCAGCCCTCGGGCCACGTTCCTCGCTGTTGGCTGTGCGAGCCGGAGCCGAGGGGAGTTGCAGGCCCGGAGCCACGAGATGGCCACAGATGCCCTCTCTTGGCTCTGAATCTTGGCAGCTCCCCATTCAGAGCCCCTCCGTCTTTGAAAGACCATCTGCCAGCTGGGAAGAGCCACGCCTGCCTTGTGGCAGCACCTGGGCGGAAGCCATGAAGCTGGGGAAGAGGCCGGCCCTTCCGTTCCGTTCCGCCACCTCTGCCCCTTTTTGTGTCCCCCACCCTCCAGATTGGCTGTGCGAGGGGCGTGCCTGGGAGCCAGCCTGCTCTTCCTGGCGGTGAACGTGGCATGCGCCGTGCTGGTGCGGGCGCATCGAGCGGAGCCCTGGGCAGTGGTCCTGGCACGGGTGCTCATCAGCGACTCTCTGTTCGTGCTGGGCGCCGTCTCCCTCGCCCTGTGCCTCTGCCTCGTGGCCCGCGGCTCTCCTTCTACTCGCGTCTACATGGAAGCTAAGGTGAGGGGCCGGGGAAGGGGCCTGCTTTTCCTCCTCCTGCTGCACGTGCTGGTCAGCTGCAGAGCTGGCCGCGTTCTGCCCGTTTCTGTCCATCCAGGGGATGTGAACTCCGTGCCAAGCTGGAGCAATGCACACTGGGAATGGTGGGCCCGTGCCCCTCTAACGAACAAGAGTTGCACACAACTGGGGCTCCCGGGCTTTGAGCTGGAAACCGTGATTCCTGCTGTGGACGAACTCTTACTTGTTTCGTTTAATTACTAAATGTGCGCCACTGTAGGAGCCTCTTTGGCTGCAGAAAGGCGTCCTAATATTTCATATAAATGCATTTAATTTACCCCACGCTCCCGTGGTGAAAGCAGTGCATTCCATCGGTGTTTTGACATTCTTCACTGGGCAAATCAACCTTCCCCAGGCGACGTTTCCCTTCTGTGAAATGGGAACGCGATTAGCAGGCTTGGTGGCTTGTAAGGCCTGGCTTGGAATTCCCAAGCTCGGTCCCCACCTGCACGTTGCGCCCCAGATTTGGGGCAAAATACTAGTCTTCTGCTGTTACCCATGTTCCTTCTGGGTAGGTTGTGACTAGCTGTGCCTACCATGGCAGCAGGCGTGTGAGAGCACCCATGACACGCTTTTGAGATTCCAGCGGTGCCCCCTGACCCAAAAGGGCCAGGCGGACCCCCCCCCCACCACAAGTCTCACATGGCCCATCCGGCTCTGCTCACCAGTGACCCATCGGAGCATCCATACCAGTTGAATCGGGTGTTTGTTGTGGCATACGCGGCATTAACCTCTATTGTGCATTTCCGTGGCTTGTTCTCCGGCGTGCAGGAAGCCCTTTCTTGCAGTCCGTCTTAAGGGGAGACCCTGAGCTTTCTGTGTTGCTGAAAGCGGAGTGGGTTTTGCTGCGGCTAACGACCCGTCTGCCCGCTCCCGCCTCTCCCCACAACAGGGTACCACACTGTGCCAAACAGCCGCCATGGGGGGCGCCATCGTCTTGCTGTACTCCAGCCGGGCCTGCTACAACCTCGCAGCCTTGGCGCTCTCGTCCCGCAACCGCCTCGACTCCTTCGATTATGACTGGTACAACGTGTCTGACCAGGTGAGCAAGGACTGGGTAGGGTGGGCGGTCCCTGACCCCTGGCCACCTCTGGGAATTCGAGAGGCTGCCGTGGGGGCCACCGCGAGAGGGCTGCTAGCATCATCGTGGCTTCTGTGGTGGCCTGGCTAGTCCGGTGTGGAGCGAGGGGAGGAATGTGGGAGAACGGAGGAACAAGGTGAGAGGCTTGGAGCGCGAAAAGGAGCCGTTTCTGCGGAGGGAAGAGGGTTGGGAGGCCGGCTGATTAGCTGGAAACAGGAAGGGCAACCTGGCTTCCAAAGGATTTGTATTGAAAATAAAGTTTTTAAGCAGGCAGGAAGGAGAGAGCTTAGCAAACACCACTGGGGGCACCAAATCGGAGACTCCTGGAGGGGGGAGGTGCTTAAGTTCAGGTGGGGATCAGACTCTGAGGCCCTGCCTCCTGGACGTTTTCCCCAGTGTCTCCTAATGCTTCAGCTCCCAGCATTGCTGGCCATTAGCTGTGTTGGCAGGGCCCAGGTGCTTGAATTCCAAACGCTTGGGAGATCCGTTTTCTGCTCTTCACTGACGAATTTCACAAGTGCCCGATTCCTTGCATTTCATTTAAAACCATGTCCCGCCTTTCTATTACTGAGCTTTCAAAGCAGCTTACAAAATTGAAATAAATCTGTTTTCAGTAAAATCCAGGGTGAAAAAGGGTTAAAAACAAGCCAGAAAACAAAACACTCCACCAATCTGTAGGTCCAGTGTCGAGGGAAAAGGGCTGCTTATTGGCAACAAGACGCTAATAAGAACATCGTCATTCGCTACAAACCTCTTTAAATTGAAACCACCTTTCTTAATATGTAGAGGGTTGCTCGGGAGGACAAGGCCGTTCTCAAGCCTGCCCCTGCAAGACAGAAAGGCAGGTGTCAAACCAATACTTCTGGGGGCCAACACCACAGAGGCCCAGTCTTAATCGCCCCCCACCATGCCCCCAGAAGCGAGAATTTGGAGGGTGAGCTTAAAGGACAGGCAAGCTCCTACAGCCCAAGAGTTGTAGCCCCCCCCCGTCTAGCCCGGTTAAAAGGTGTTCCCCCCCCCCCCCCCGGTATAGTCAGTGGCCAAAAGTACATGTAGGGGGCGGGGAGCAGGAGATGGATGCCAGGTGCAGGCATCGCACCTCCTCGTCCCCCTCGTCGTCTGATCTGCTTCCCTGCCATTCTCCTCCCAAGGCGGACCTGATCACAGACCTGGGAGACCAAGGCTACATCGTCTTCGGCCTCATTCTCTTCATTTGGGAGCTGCTGCCCACCACCTTGCTGGTCGGCTTCTTCCGGGTGCACCGGCCAGCTCAGGATATGGTGAGTGTGGTGGCCGGATGGAGAGCGGCGACCGCCAGAAGGTGGTGGGAGGCTTGGAAACGGGGCCTGGCTGGCCGCCCAGCCACCGCGAGTGGCGCCCAGCCTGCCGCGAGGGTGCAGAGCTTCCGGCTGCTGGCTCAGATCCGTCTGAGCAGGAATCCTAGCCGCTCTTCAGGATCCTCTAGATGGCTGCGCTTCCTTTTCCCCAGCCACTGATCATCTGATGGCTAACTAGCTTTGGTGCAGAGTTTCTTCTCATTCTGAAAGGTGAAATTGCCTCCCCTGTGGCTTCAGTAGCAGCAGGAAGAGCATTACGTTACATTACGTTGGTAACTGGGCCCCGGCTCTGTTGGCTTTGGTCCTGTCTGCCCATGGAATGTCACCTGCAAGAGATTTTCCATGAGGAAGTTTGACCCCCAGGCTGAAATGGGGCTGGGTACAGGATTGCATTTCACTTCAGCCCTTTGAAGGGACCCCGACCATCTCAAGGGTTTTGTTCCTTTACAAAAAGAAAAAAGAAGGGGTTGCTAGTCCTCATTGTTACGCAAGGCAGAAAAAGGAACCCTGGAAGAGGTTTTAGCAGGGAGCCATGTCTCTGCGTTGTTCCTTGAGGGTGGGAGCAGAGCTGTAGGGACGTTCCCGTCATGGCTTCTCCTCTGCACAGAGTGCCAGCTGTATCTTCAACCGGCAGCTTGGAGTCTCCCGTTCCTATTTCTTCGACCACCCTGGACAGCGCGACAGTGAAGGACTGACAAGCAGGTAACTACTCTTCATCCCTGAACGTAGGGGCATAACTGCCTCCCCTTCTCTTGGCACCCTAATTATTCTCATGGCCTGATTTAGGAGCATAGAAATAGAGCTTACTCCAGGTCTGTCTGGCTGGACATTGGCTAACTGACAGGCATGCTTTAGGCCATGAGACATAGTTCTCACACGGCACAGTGGCGGGACTGAGTTGGACCTGGACTGGAGAGACCCCGGGTTCTGGCCCCGACTCAGCAACTAAACTCGCTGGGTGATTTTGGGCCCATCAGCGACTCGCAGCCTAGCCTACCTTGCAGGGTCCCTCTGTATGCAAAGTGCTCTGCTACTGAGTTAGAGTCCTTAACACATGCATGTTTCTAGTCCTCATGGTACTGATTTTCGAAAGCATCAGAAGCTGCCTTATGCAAGTCGCAATCCTCTGTCCCTCTGATTCAGTGTTGTCTACACTGACTGGCAGTCTGGCCTTTCCTGGCCCCACCTGGAGATGCGCGGGGGCTTTGGACTTAATCTTTTACGTGCAAAATAGTAGGTGCGGCCTAGCCGTGATCCTTTCCCCCAGTTCTGCACCCTGGGGATCCCCTGAGGATCCCCATATGACCATGCCTCTTTCCCCTCGCCATGACTGGGTGCTTACCCAGTTTCTGCCCTCCGTGCTAAAGGATCAGCATGCTTGCCTCGGCCCCGCTCTGGCCAGGATCCAAGCGCTCAGCTCCAAGAGGCTGGTGTTTTTGGCCCCGCTCCACCCCACCCACCCCTGGAATGCACCCCGAGCACTTCTCTGCCCATCAGCAATTCAGAAATTCAGCCCCTGGACCGGGTTCCGCACCCCGGTTGCGTTGCGGCTGTCCACCATTCCACTGAATGCCAGGAAGGAGCACACCCCGACAGGTCAAATGTACACCCGTGTGCATGCGTCCTGGATCCTCGGGCAGTGTTGCCCCCCAGAAGGGTCTCCCCACCGAGGTCTGGGTGGCTGGGCCGGGGAAAGGGAGGTGGCGGGGGGACCCCAGCTTCTGCAGAGCAGCCCAGAGGCACGACTCTCTCGCCCATTCCTGCTTTCCTTCACTGCCTGGCTTCTTCTCCCCTTCCAGCCTGACGGGACGCCTGGGCAGCGGGAGCTGGTATGGCTCGATCAACCGTGGCGGGGAGCAGGAGTGGTTCGGGGGCCACCCCCCCACGGCCCCGCTTCTGTTCTCGCAGGCGGCGGTTTCCGGTGGACACCACCACAGCCTCTACTCCACCCCACAGAACTAAGGAAGGGTTTGTGGGGCTTGATGCGCGTGTGTGTGAGTGGGGCGGGGGTGGGGGCGACACCCAGGAACCGCAGCTAATGCAGGAGGGGGTGTGCGTGTGCGGAGAAGATGGGGGTTGGAACGCGGCCATTGTATTATAACCGCGCGTCACGTCATTCCCTAGATTCTGTAGTCTGGAAAGCCTAATTCTTTTAGCTGTAGAGCTGGTTGGCTATCTCACTGGCATCACAGTCTTGATGCTTGCGGGGAGGGGAAAAAACAAACCTCCCCCCCAAATGCCTCTCTGTTCCCAGGTATTTAACCAATAGTATATATTGAAAACTTCGGCACTTTAATCGACTTGTGGGGGGGGTCCATTTTATCTGTGATGTCCTTGTTGAAATGATTTCTGGTCAAAGCTGGGGGTGGGTCACCCCGTCTTCTCTGTGCGGGAGGAGCCCTTTTGTCTCACTGCAGTTTTGGTCCTGTTCCGTCTACTCCCCCACTACAATAAAGTTGACTTTGTGTTAGCGACACTGTGTGGTGTTTCTGTCGTCAGGCCGGGGCAGGGGTGTCCAGCCATGAGCCCTTTCTCCCAGCCGCTCATCCTCTGGGGATTTCTGACTCTGACACAATTCTCTTTCCTGAATGGTCTGAGAGCCTTGCCGAAGACTTGGATCCGGCCGGAAGAGACTCAAGGTGAAACGGGCTGGCGCTTGGCTCTCCACCTTTCCTGCCTTTCCTCCCGTTTCCCCCTGGAATGTGGCCTCTGGGAGCTTCTCCAGAATGGAGTTTGGTCCTTAGGCTGAAATAATTCAGCCTGAAAGTTAGGGTCCCCAATGCCAAGCCGGGTTAATTCGGTTTATTCAGCTGGCTCCCCAACCTTGTGCTCTCCACAGCATCCCCTCTCTTCCTGCCAAGCCAGTGGGGCCAAAGGGGAGTGTTAGACGTGCTGGATGGCTGCCTATAAATAACAGAAGCTATTTGAGTCTACGATTCTCCCACTAAAGTTGACCGAAATCTGCCCAACCCCCTCCATTTTCAACACCAAGAGCCCGTGTGGTATATTAGTTAAGAGTGTGGAACTAGGTCTCAGCCGTGGAACGAACTGGGTAATTCGGGGCCCGTTGCTGAATCTCAGCCCAACCTCCCTCACAGGGCTGTTGTTGTGAGGAGAAGATTGAAAGAAGGAGGTTAATTAGGTAAGCCACTTTGAGTTCCTTGAAAGGAAAAAAAAGGCAGGATATAAATATAATCCATCCATCAGTGAACACTGTAAGCTGTCCAGTTTATGTCTTAAAAGGATGCCGGGCCGCACCCACCATCTCTTCTGGTGCCACCATTTTGGCCACACCTTGGGGGCTGAGATGCTCAGAATCAAAACTGGCCTACCCTGGCTGGCTGTTGAGGATAAGAAAGTGGAAGGCAGTCATTTTAGAACCAAAGGTACGTTCTTTTTGTTTGTTGGAAGTGCGGTACGCATTCATTGCTTTTAATTAATTCCGCTGGTCCATGTGGTCGGAACCCGCAGTTAACATTTTCCGCCACCGGGGGGCAGACTCGACCAACCCATGCTTAGCTTTGCCGGCCATGCTGGTTGAGGGAAAGCGCTCTCTCAATTTAGGGGTCATACAGAAGCCCCATAGCGAGGGGCATTCTTAGGGGTGCCCGCAGGTCTGGCCTGGGGGTGGCACAGGGGCCAGGTTCACAAAAGACGCCAAGCCAGTGTCTGGTGATGTGTGTGAACCAGCCACGTTAACAAATCATGCTGGGTTAAGCATGAAGAGAGTCCCCGGCTTCCTGCTGGGTTGTGAACTGCCATGCTCACAGACCATGGCTTGTTAGCAGAGCTGTCGCTTCTGGAGGGCTCCTCTTTGCAAGCACCCCCTGTCCATGCGGCAGTTCTCGCCCTCAGCCGGCAAGCATTGGCCAGAAGGCAGAGGTGTGGCCAGGCTGCGCGAAGCGGGGTGCACTGTATGTTTGGGGGTGCCGTGGCAGGTGTGAAGCTCCACCCCTGTGATTCCAGCAGGGTCCCAGGTCGGGCCTGCGGGTGGCAGGGGCGAAGTTTGGTCAGCCTCGATTCCAGCCAAACCAGCTCCAGCGGGGGATCGGCGTGCCGCCTGTCCGCCACACGGCCCTTCGGGGCAGGCTGATCCACTCCTGTCCCCGTCTGCCACTTCTGCATGTAGGAAGGATCCTCGTGCCAGCTCCCCCGTGACGCCGCCCTAAGCCCCGGCTGCCTCTTTAATCCCGACAATCCGTCCTTGGAGGCCGAAGGGAGTGCTGCCGCCTGCGTGGGAGGGAGCCAGGCCAGGCCAGGCCTCGAGTGTGCCGGCCCGGCATCCCGGAGCACCATGAGCTGGCCAGGCGAGGACTGGAAGGTGGGGCTGCCGGCACAGGCCTTGCGGGCCATCGCCGAGGTGGAGCAGCACCTGGCGCGCCTGCAGAAGGAGCGGCAGCAGAAGCAAGTGCAGCTGGACACGCTGGAGGCCGCGATGCACAAGCAGCGGCAGAAGGTGGGCAGGGGGGCCGGGCCAGGGGTGCTGGCGGGGCGCACGCACAGAGGCTTCTGTGGCTCTTCTTTGGGCCCCCCCCATACATGCCTGTAACGCTTCAATGTTACTTGCATGGTGTCGAGAACTCTTTGGAATCTTCTATACAGCAACCTTGTAAGGTAGGCCAGCAATATTACCCCTCCCCAAGTGCAAACAAGGAGCTAAAGGAATATTTGCTTGCTGCTAAAGAAAAGTAGTTGATATATATAAACATAGCAATCAGAAGTTGATTGTTGTTAATTGATTGTTGTTAATCATGATTCAGACTTAGCCGACAATGGAAGTTGGACTTTCTTAGCTTAACGTAAAATATTTCCGGCGGCACGTTTTACTAATATTGCCCCTCTAACCCTGATGAAACCCCTGGAAAAGTGGAATGCCATTGCTGTGGAATATTTATTTATTTATTAAAACATTTCTATGCCGCCCCTTGCCGAAGCCTCGGGGCGGCTCACAGCACAAATAAAATACCAAAACAACAATATAAAATATAAAAATACCAATATAAAATAAATAACAATATAAAAGAATTCGCCCTGGCCACTTATTTCCCCCATGCTGCTAGGAAAGTAGGCAAAAATAATATTTATTTTGTCCTATTTGTATTTATTTCCTTCCCTTAGGGCTACACGGAGCTCAGGGTGACTAACAACTCCTATAAAAACAGTGCATTGCATTAACATCGTTGCAAGCATAACTCTAGAGATGGGATAAAGTGGAATAAAACTATTGCTGCGGCACCAGAAGCAAAGTTTGTCGGCGGTGCCTGATTTAGGACCAGGGCAAACCGGCAACAGTAGTTGGGCAAACCGGTTGGGCTTTTGCAATGCTGTCCATGTGCAGTTTTTGAAGACAGGGACAACTGAGCGTTGTCCCTAACATTAGCTCCTTGCTCCTCAGAACAGCCCTGGAAGGAAAGCCACGGCCTGTTTCTCCATATTTTTGGTGGAAGGCTCTGAAGGTGTGAGGCATGGTCTTCACTATGGCCAACGGATGGTTTGCAGTAGACAGGCATGTGAAAATGTTAAGGTTTTTTCCAGTTTGGACCAAAAGCAGGCTCCTCGCCCTCATGATCAGGGAGAAAAACCTGGAAAGAGAACTCTGTTCTGTTTTTTTCTTCTCTTGGCCCACAAAATGGTGAAACCAAAGATTGAATCAGGAAAAAAACCATACACAGTCATGCAAATTGCATTATTTACATGGACAGCTGGGTTATGGGATTGGGTGTATTATTGGGGCATGTGCCGATGTAGCTGATTTTTGGGGGGCAAGGAATATCCATACAACGGCAGGATCTGTTTGCTAAGCTGTTTCTGTTCCATCAGCACGAAGAAGAGAGGGCCTCGTGGGCCCTCCTCTCCCAGCAGAACCGGAGCTTGGCAGAAGGTCAGGAGCAGATGGAGCGTGCCCGCCAACGCCTGGCCCAGGAGCTGCAAGCCAAGGAGGGCCAGCTGAGCTGCCTGGAGGCCCAGCTAGTCCAGGCCACCCGCCGGCAAGCAGAACTCGAAGAAGAGCTACGCAGGTACAGGCTGGGAATGGCAACCGTGTCTGTGCTCGCAGTGGGGCTTGTATCAAAAGATCAAGGGGGGAGGCAGCTGCGCGCCTTCTGCAATGACCAAAACTTGTCCACAAAAGGCTGAACAGGGTCACTTTTGGGAATTGGTATCTTAGGAATAAGTTTCTAGCCCTCAAGGCTGCACAGAGACAGCGTGTGGGTGATGCATGACGGAATCACGGGAGCCAGAGGGGGATTCCCAGGGTTTGAGCGACAGGTTTCGGTACCCCTTCATTTATCCCTCATGATGTCTAGTTGTGAAAGAAACTGCACAGAACAGGCAAATATATGCAGATTTGTTCAATGTATGTAGTTTATGCAGAGATAGTAGATTCCCCTCCCCTTTTCAGATTTCAGAAAAGAATAACACTTGGCATTTAGTGTTTACAAGGCACCTTATATAAATTCAGGAATCCCAACAACAACAAATTTAGCACCATTGCTGACACTGCATGTGCAAAAGAGAGATGATTGAGAGCAAAAGTTTATCTCCGGAGCTCTAAATTTCTGCTAGTGTTGAGAGCTTAACCGCACAGTTTAATTGAGAATTACTTGTTCTGTTTGTCTCGCCAGAGGCATTCAGCTTCTTGCACCTCATGGGCCAGAGTCAGTTTCGGAGAAGGCCGTTGGGGCACATTCCAGTGCAAAAGCCAGGAAGGCCCCAAAGGATTGGAAAGTGGGGAAGGGGGGTGCAGTGAGGTGTCGGGGCATTTCTGTCTGGGGAACCATGGAAGGCCAGATTGGAACCCAGGCGGGCAGGCCTGACATCCGTCGTGCGTCTCCCCTGCTCTCCTGCATCCTTCTCTGTTCCCTGCAGGTGCCAGGTAGAACTGGAGAAGCTGCGCTCACAATCCAACCTGGTTCTCCTGCCCCCCCGGTGGGGCTCCCCCACACCGTGGGCCGAAGGTAACAAACCCGCAGAGGGAAACGGGTGCGGGTGTCTTTCAGCCATGGCAAATGAGCGCTGCTGCTTCCCACGCCGGGCTCTGGGGATTAAGAGCGGCTTTGCCAGATAGAGAAGTAATTAGCCCAAGTGTCGCAGGAAGATGGCCGAGCGGCCGGCTGTGAGTTTATCGGGGAGGTGAGGAAGGAGGGGTTGCCCAGTGAGGGGTGAGCCAAGGCCTGGCCAGGGGAGGGGGGCAGAGCTGCCTCTGGAGCAGCTGGAAGGCAGAGGGGAACCCTAGCTTCCCTTGCATCCTGGGGCCAGTGCTGAGTGGAAGAGCAGAATAAGAATAGTGGGAGGAAAGGGCATCTGTTGAACCTCCCGGCATTTTAATCTGTGTTCTTATTCATAGCCAACAAATGACTCAAAAATTTAAGAAGCAGTGGGAAGGGATAATTTATTTATGCATTTAATTTCTGTATTGTCCAGCAGCTGAAGCTCTCTAGGCAGTACACAAGAATTGCAAGCCACAAATGCAAGATAATAAAACCACCCTTCTAACATACAAAGTGGACAATAATTTAGGATGCAATCTCCTGTATATTTAAGCAGAAAAAAAGGCCTACAACTCCCAGCATTCCCCAGCCAGCCTGGCTGGGGATTGCTGGGAGTTGTAGGCCTCTCTTCTGTCTAATCATGCATGGGATTGTTCCTTCAGTGCCTTAGTAGAACCTCCTGAATGGGCCATTGGCTTTTGGGGTGAGAAGCAGGGGAGTATTGGCATGAAGAGTCTTATTAAAGTGTGACCGATGGGGCATGGTGGCTGTGCAAGGGAGAATGATTTGGATTTTCTTTTTCATTTCAAAAGCCTTTAGTCATTAAGGATGGGATGGCATTGAGAGGGGGAGGCCAAAACAGAGGCTAGAATGGGCGTCCCAGTGGGCAGGACAGGAGACACCGCTGTGATTTGTTGCTTGTTCTTGCCACCGACACCGTAAAATAATAATTCTTGGGGGAAGCTTAAATCTCCAGGCACCAACTGGAACCCCGTCTTTTTGGGGTGTCTCTGTTCTGCAGGTGGTGCGGAGGCCAAGGCAGAGCCCAGCAAAACTCCTGGAGCTGGAAAAAGGGTAAGTGTGCAGAATATCTCCTCCACCCTAGGACTGGATGAAATCCGGAACGCGAGCAGGACGCCTAGGTAGGCCAGTGGGCCAGATCCATCCCTCCTGGTGCTTCAGCTCAGCCTCCTTGGGCTCCCCAGATGGCCATGCCTTCTCCCTCAGCCGCCTGTCGTCCAAGACTTACCTGCCTCTTGCGCAGTTTCCCCCCATAAACTGGAAGAATTCCCTCACCCCGGCTCCACAGGTGACCTCAAACCATAGCACTCTCTCCCTTTCCTGCTTCCCAGAAGGTTCAGTGCAGCAGCCGCACAGCTGGGGGTCCCAACTGGGCGAAGGAGCCAGGAACATTGCTGCCCACTGCCCCACCTGGAAGCCCCAGTCCCACAGAGAACGGTGGGGGAGACTGTTCAGCGGCAGCAGAAGCAGCGTCCGTAGGAGAACGACTGAAGAGAGAGAACCAAGGTATTGGAACTTTTACTCTGTGTGGCTTGGCTCGCTTGCTCAAGCTGCCTGTGAGGTACCCTCGCAGCTTGCTTGTGATTCATTGTTAGTATCTGGGCTGAGATGCCTATTTTTCTGGCAGTTTCTTGAGGGGGCCGAGGTAAAAGTGGGTGAAGTCACCCGTTCCTTTCTGTGTCTCCCCCTCTCTGGAACCCCTGTGTCCTTGCTCCGTCACTGCTTTATCTGTCTTGTCTCCCCCTTCCACTGCTGAGGGTGTCGGGAGGGGAGAATCGCCCGTGCCGGAGGTCTGAACCCACGAGTGCAGCGGGCTGGGTGAAAAGCCTGGAGCAGGCATGACACGCTAGAGTCTGGGCAGGCCGTGTCGCTCACTTGCCCCTGCGTGGCTTTCCCTCCTCCGCCTAGGGCTCCAGCTCGCGCTCGCCAAAGCGGAGAGTCGGATGCGCGAGCAAGAGAGGGAAGTGTGGAACTTGCAGGGGCAGCTGGGGCTCGCCCAGGCCGAGCTGGCTCGGTGGAAGAAGCAGCGAGGAGACCAGGCCGAGGTGAGTGGGCCGGCAGAATGGGGAACGTGCGGCTCGGAGTGCGTCAGCCTGCTCAGTTCGGCCGTGGAGGCTTAATCATGACATTTGTATCCCAAAGAAGCACAAAGCGATCTGCAAGGTTTTCCCACCCACATTTTCTCCCCACAACAACCCTGTGGGGTGGCTTAGAGAGAAGTGGCCCAAGATCCTCCAGCAGGAGTTGCACAGGGGAGCTTCCCAGCCGAGTTCAGTGCTCTAACCAGTAGGTCACACTTTCTCTGGCTGCCTGCTCGTCTCCGAGTGTCAAGAGGTAGATGAAGGGGCTTAGGGGTGCCTGTGAAACCCGCCACCTTCTTTTGTAACCCTGCCTGCGTGCAGTCAATGCACTTGAACGTTTCTTTGGATAAGATGCATGGTATTTTTAATGTATTTTAATGTACTATTGTTTCGTACATTTTATGAGCTTTGACTATTGGACAGTATGCAAATGGAAATAGACTAATACCAAATACAATAATACTAGATATAATAGTAATAATAGCATTAACCACCTCTTACCCTGTGGGGCTACCAGATGCGGTTCAAGACCGCTTAGGGGAAAGGAAGGATGCGCCTTCAGGGCAGCCCCTGTCCAAGGAAACCTGCCAAGCCGTATGACAAAGCAGCCTCCGTTTCTCCTCTGCTGCGTGACATCTTTATGAGGTTTCAAGTCCTCATTTCTTGGCCGAGCCGACAAAGTTATTAGCATGATTAATTCTCTGCCACGCTTACTCGTGAGAAGTGCTATAAGGGCGGCTGGCCAAATGCCTTCCTCCCCCACGCGCCACATAATCCACCATGCTGCCCAGTCTAGCTAACGAGGGAGCCGCTCACCTGCAGAGCGCCAAGCTGCTTCCCAGAAGCAGTTCGAGAAGGCCTCAGTTTCCGTAGCGGATCAGGGCCTCGTGGGGGACACCAACAGCAGAGCAGCCCGTTCGGGGCCGGAGAAAAGCAGGCTGCCGTTCAGTTTGCTTGCGTGCCGGGGGGCTTCGCGGCCTCCTACGACGTGGGCTCGGAACCTCCACCCGGTTTGCTGCGTCTCTGCAGTGCTTCCAGTGCAAGTTAAGGGCGTTGCAAGAGCCGAGCTGCAAACCAGAGTGATTCTACAGATCTCCAACAAGCAGGGCTGGTCCGACCCTTGGGCAGAGCTGTGTGCCCTGCCCTGGGTGGCAGATGCCGTTTTGGTGGGGGGCGGAATAGTGGTGAGATGCCCGAACAGGACCAAGGGACCTCTTCCCTCCCGAGGGCCGGAATCGGTTCTGAGCAGGGCAAAAGGGAAAAGCGGAGAGCAAGGTAGAAGAAATGCCAGCCTGTTTTCGCTTAAAGCTGATAAGGTGAGGCAGGAGAAGGGAAGTGGCCATCAGCTGGATCCCTACCCCCCACCCCAGGCCTAGGCCTTTCCACCAGCTAGGCTAAATGTGCTCTGCTCATCTCATCCAGGCCTGCCTGAGCCGTGGGGGACGCTGCCCCATGGCCAGCATTGGAGAAGGAAAAGGTCCAGCCCAGAGGCTGTGCCACCTGCATGCACAGGAAGGCGCAGGCACCGCCTGGCCCATCGCTTCTGCAGCAGCGAGAAGAGGCGCCATCCTGGGCCTTCTGCGTCGCACCGGATTCCTCTTGGCCCCTATTGGCCCCGGTCCAGTGCGCACAAGCTGGAGCAGTTGGTGGTCCAGGCTCCCATTTGGCTCGATCCTCCGGCCCGAGTGCTCTTCCTGCCCCACTGTGGGTTGTGCTTAGGGGAGGAAAAGCGAAGGAGGAGTCTTGCATCAGGCGCCTTGGGTCTCTCGCTTGTAAAAGTAGCCACATCCACCGGGTATCCCTAGAGAGGCTGCGAGCACCGCAAGTGACTAGTGGGGAACGGGCTCTCTGCGTATGCTCTTAGGGTGGCTTGCATCCCGGGGCTGGTGTGCTCTGCTCGTCCCTGCCTGCTCGGATTCCCCTTGCTGGGTCTTTTCCACCAACCAAGCGGATGCCCCCTCTGCGGGGCACGGTCCTCTCCTTTACCCCTCTTGGTAGCTGTGGGCCCTCCAAGGGCGCAAGGATAGGAACAGAAAAAGCTCTCCGCCCATTCTTGCTCCGAGGAGGGAGTTTCTTGTCGGATGGCAGGAGGGCTGGCCGACTGGCCTCCCTCCCTCCCTCCCATCGGAAGTTTTGTTCTGTCCCAGGCCAGGGCGCCAGCAGCCCAGGGCAGGAGGCTGTCGGAGGATGTGAGTGCCCAGCACCGGAGCAGAGACCACCAGAAGGTGGGTGCCACTCCTCCCCATCCTTTATCCTCTCCCTTGCACACTCACCGCACACTCGGGGGAGCAGCATCGAGCAGGGGGCGGCAGCCGTGTGTTTTCACACGCACGGCGCAGCCGGTGGCCAGCGCAGTGGTCATTGTGGCAACGCAAACAGCCGCCCCCCGGGAAGGTCCAAAAACGTGGTGAGTGCGAGGGGTGGATATAGATCCAGGAGCCGGCACTTCCCATCTGCCTGTGCCCGGGCCAGGTCTTTGCAGAGCTGTTGCGTCCGATTTGCTCATTCGAAAAATTAGAAACGGCTCCAGAAGGCTTCCTAGGGTGACAAGGAACAACACCGTCCTTTTTTGCTGAGGGATCCCATTGCCGTCCCCTGTCTCCTGCTGCCGTGAGGGTTGCAGCTCAGCTCAGAGGGAGCAAGGAAGTCAATGAAACCTGCTCATATCAACGCGCTGGTGCTTCATGCCTGCGAGCTCCAACCCCACTGCACCACGGCCTCTTCCTCTTCCTTCCCACAGGCGATGTCATGGCCTCCCCAGGCTGGGAGAGACCTCAAAGCTCATCTAGTCCAGTCTGCACCGATGCTGCAGCAGCATCCCTGCTAGCAGCTCCTTGCCCGTTTCTCTGGATTTATGCTTGAGCTATGCACTCGGTTTCAGCAGGCCCTGCCCGTCTTGCTGGTATTTCTGCCCTTGAGGTTCTCCAAGCCAGGCTTCCATCCCGGCCAGGAACCTGCCCTGCCACAGGTGCTGTTAGCATCTGAAGGCTTCACCTGCAAAGCTTCTGCACGGCCCCTCATTTCTGCTCTTGTGCCAATTTCAAAACAGGGCCCGGCGGGGACAGAGAGGGCATCATCCGGCAGCAGCCGTCGTAGTGTGAGCTCCTCCCGCTTGGAACAGCCAGCAGAGAAACGGGCAGCCCCCGGCAAGCAAAAAGGTAACACGTGCGCTTCTTTGTCAGATCCGGTCGGGATGCATATCCCCAGCTGCCTCCTGCGAATAGCAATAAAACTTTAAAATCCACAATCTCTGAGCCATCCTCTCCTGCTTTCTCTGTCTCCCCTCAGGCCTCCCGTCGCTGAGTCTGCGGGCCCCCGGTACCGAGCAGGAGGAGTTGCAGGCCCTCAGAGCTCAGGTTCTGACCCTCCGGCGGCGCCTGGAGGCCTCCGAGGTCCAGCGCAAGAGCCTCTTCGAGACTTGTGGGCAGCAGCCGAAGGCGCCGCTCTGGCTCCAAGCAGGACAGACGCCTCTGCCCCAGCATCAGAGGAGGGGCTCCCGAGCGCTCCCGGGCGATGGCCAGGCTGCACCCAACGAACAGGGCATGGGGAACGGAGACCACGCGGTAGCAGGAGCGGTGGCCAGCGGTGGCCAGTGGGCTGAGGAGCAGCTGGAGGGCCAAGCAGAGGAAAAGACGGCGCTACGGGCCCGTGCGGCAGAAGAGGTCCCCGGGAAAACGGACGTGCCGGCCCCACCCGTGGCCGAAGCAGAGGGCCTCGCCCAGACCCCCATGTCGGCCAGAGGAGGGGCGGATGCCGAGGGGAACGTGGAGGCCTTGCGCGAAGACCTCCGGGCCTTAGCCGCCGGGAAGGCCGAGGCGGAGGCCCAGGCCAGCTTAGTCCAGCAGAAGCTGCAAAACCTGCAGGCCATGGTGGGGAGGCAGACGGAGCGCTTGGCGCAGGCCATGGAGGCCCAAAGCCGCCACGTGGGAGAGCTGCTTGTGGACGTGGAGGAGAAGGACCGGCTCATGGACGGCCTGCGCCAGGAGCTGGAGGAGACCAGAAGGGCCTTGAACCTGGCCGACGCCAAGGGCCGGCGGCTGCAGGCACTGCTGGGGGAGAGGCTGGGCGGTCCTCATGAAACCAGCCCCACCGAGGCCCCTGTGGCCGAGCTGCAGGGAGGCAAAGGGTGTGCTGGGGACGGCAGCCTCGCAGAATGTCCTCGGGAAGAGGTGCAGGCACAGCCAGGAGTGCAAGAGCAGGTACCGTTTCCTGTGCATGGAATGTTAAAACTCAGGACTGAAAGCAAGTTTCTAGCCCTGATGATGGCAGGTGATATCTGGCATGGAGTTTTCAAGGTGCTCTTACCTCCCCACTCCCGAAAGATATGCAAAGTAAATACATAAGTATTTATGTCACACTTTGAGTCTGTAGAGTACTTTCAAATCTTTTGAGCTGGCTTTCAAATCAAGCCCTGAGCAGGCAGAAAATGAAAACCGCGGTTTGACCTTCTGGTGCCTTTGAAGGTTCAAACCATGGGCTGGTGTTCTAAACTGTAGTTAGTGCAAACTAAGCTGTCCTGAGACAATTGAATTGTATAGGAAGGGATAAATATATTCTAAATAAACAAACTGTGGTTTGGTACAGTGTCTTCACAGACCCATTGTTGTCCATTTTCCTGATTATTGTCAGACTCTCCCCATCTTTTCTGTAGCTGGAGACCTTTCTTGCTCAGCTCCTGCGGGAAAACCAGGCCCTGCGCGAAGAACTGGCAAGTTGGAAGACGTGGAGCCAAGAAAAAGAAAGCAACAGCACTCTCACTCCCCTCGAATCAGCTTGTGCAGGAAACAGCGGAGAGGGAGAGCCTGAAATTGGTAAGGGCATCTCAGAATCTGTAGTGGGAGAATCCAAAAACTGGGGGACAGAGGAGAGAAATGCCTGTTTGGGACATGGGGTTTCATGGGGCTAGTCCACATGGATGCTATTAAGCCTTTGTCTTGGCTGTACCACTTCAGAGAGGAAAGGGGGTCAGGGGATTGCTGCCTTGGTGTCTGTCTCTGAAACATGATAGCTGGGGCATGCTGAGAGTCGAGTATTTTTTCATTCTTATCATGGCTGGAGGGGGGGGTGGTGTTGCAAAGCAAAAGCCACTGGGCCCAGTCCTTCCGCCCTCTGCTCATTACTGGCTTTTGTGTCTTGCAGTTCTAGAAGCAGCCCAGGTGGAGGAGCCCTCATTACGGGGAAGCTGGCGAAGTGTCCAGACCCAGACGGAAGTGGGCCACCGGCGCCGGGAACGGGTCTCCGTTGCCTTCGACAACACCCAGTATGAACCCTATGGGCTCCCCGAGGTGGTCATGAAGGGTATGTCCCAACAGAGGGAGCAGCACCCCGCTTTTAGGCCTTGGGTGGCCGAGTCGGATGCAGAACCTCTGGGATGGGGCAGAGTGCATCCTCTTCATGGCACTTGAGCTGCTTGCAGGCTTCAGTGGGGCTCTTGGGTGAGAAGGACCAGCCTGTACCTCGGCTTCTACACAGCCAAGCTCCTTGCACGCTCCTTTTCCCATTCACCACCCTTCGCTCTGTTTCTCCCGTGTCAAATTTTAGAGCAGGGAAATAGCATTTCAGGCTGGTGGTCCGCATTCAGCTCGGCAGGTGGCGGTCCGTGCAGCTTTGCCCAGCTTTGGGGCTGCCATGAAGGTAGGGTGGTGCCACCCAAGGAAGCGGCCATGATGGGAGTGAGGGCAGGGAGCAGAGCAGGTCGAGTCGTGCCCAAGGGCCTTCCAAAAGCTGGAGCCCGGGCCGCCCAGAACCCCTGTAGCAGCTCCATGGGCAGATGTTACCCTGCCAGACAGATGTGGGACTTTTCTTGCAGCCAGGCACCTTCAGAGGAGAGGCTCCCTCATTCAGTCGCAACCTTTCCTCTGCAGGTTTTGCCGACATCCCGTCTGGACCTTCTTGCCCATACGTCCTTCGCCGGGGCATTCTCGGAAGTGCCCCCATCGCCCAGCTGGCCCCGAGAGCAGAACCAGAAGAGGATTTCCCTGAAGCCGAGGAGGGGACGGGCGTCTGAGAACAAATCCCCCCCAGGTGAGGCTTTCCCCTGTCAAACAGCCGCACCACCACAGAATCAGCGGCCTTTGCAGTCCTGGCCGGAGGCTTCCACACAGAGCAAACTCTTGGCCTTCCATTCGGGTTTTTTTAAAAGGGTGGGGAGACAGAAAGGAGCGCACAGCTCCGTGACAGGGGCCATGCTTCGCCTGCTGGAGCACCAGGCTCCATCTCCAGTAACTCCAGTTCATCATCAGGGAGCACTCAATGGGGAATCCACTTCTGTCTGAGGCCCTAGGAAACCAGAGCCCTGAGCCCCGGGCTCGCTGGGGAAATAATCGGAATCACCCAACCGAGGGTGATCCTGGAATTAATGACAACAGCAGTAACAGTAAGAAGAGTTGTTTTTGTTTGCCTGAGCCCCTCCTGCCATCTGTGGCAGCGCGGCTCCCTCCTCCAGTCTTAAACTCCACGGAGCAGCTTGTGGCTACCGCATTTATTGTGGCATCGGCTTTCATGGGCTACGTTAAAATTATTTTCATTTGCCTTTCGTTGCCTTGCAAGGAAGCTGCAGTGGCAGAGCTGGGGCAGGTCAGGCTGTGGGCTCAGGATTGGGGCAGGTCAGTCGTCTGTGGCTGCGTGGGGAGTCGAACCGGGATTGCCCGAGCTCTGCTCCAGCACCCTCACTACCATGCCAAGCTGGCTCTCCCGACGGAATGTGTGTGTCTTTCAGGGTTGAGCGCTACCTAGAGTAGACCCATTCGGAAGAATAGGGCTTCACTTACTAGGACTAGTTTTAAGTCCCATTCCTTGCAGGCAGGGCTTCGGTTGGGCTTTATCCAACGGTGTTGTAGCACCCTTCATTCTTTCTGTGGAAACTGTCACACTTCTGAGCTTATAACCTCTGCCTTTTCTCTTTCCCCCTTCTTTAAAATCTCCTGATTGCTCCAGCACGAGCCATCGCTCTCCTGTCACTGGGCCGTGGGGGCACGCGGTGCTTTTCCATCCATGGCACCACCACCAAAAAGATCGCCATCTGTGCTCGATCCCTCCGCCATCACCGCTGCCCACCTTTGCTTGCGCGCTTCCTGCCACCAGTTTTGATCTGTTTCTCTCCAAGTCGACTGGTTGACAGCTTATTGGGACCTTCTTGTTGGTTCTTTGCATGGATCTGTAAAGTTTATGAAATCTGACGTTGCCAAGAGGCGGTTCTAAGCCGAAGGAACCATTCCAGCCCCACCTGCTTCCTTTGAATGTGCAGAGGTTCCTTTAAAAAAACGAGGAAGGTAATTTGGGTGCATCTATTGGAAGAAACTGGAAGAGTGCCGGGGACAGGGGGGCAGTTTTCCCCTCCCCTTGTTCATCATTGGAGGAATGCATCTTTCCACAGGAGCGGTTGCTATTTCACTGCCAATCATGAACGCCCGTTTCTCTGGTTGGCTTTTTTCAAGTAACCAATGGCGAAGAGGATCGAGCATGTGGCTGGGGTTGGTACCCTCCCATCCCACCTTTTTTGGCAGGGGGGGGCTTTCCTGTCAACAATAAACATGACGATCCAAGGAGCCAGCCGGCTGTGCTGACTGACATCGCTCTGCCCAAAGATGCTTTTATCATCCGTGTGGTTTGAAATGGGGCACAATCCACCCAGGATAGAGTGCAGTGAACTGGTGTAGACACAGTGCAGATGGTGCCTTTGTGTGTGTGTGTGTGTGTGTGTGTGTGTGTGTGTGTGCAGGTGCGGTCATTGCATTGCCCAGTTTCTCCGGTACAATGAGCATCCAAATTTCAAAGCTGACAACAAAGCCCTCTCTTCTAAGGAGATTCTCTTTTAAAACAGAATGAAAAAGGAGTTGTTCACCCCACCTAAGTAAGCTTGCAGCGGGGCTGTGGGAGAAATATCTGGCTTGTGTATATATATCACACAAGAATATATTTTTGTAACAGAATTCGTTGTGGGCAGATTCGTATAACCAAACTCTCCCAGGCCATCCATTTTGGAAGAGCTACAAATTGTTGTGCTAATCCTGTTACACCTTGCTTTCCTGGGAGTTTCTCACTGCTTGCATAAGCATCTCTCTTCTAATTTCTTCTCACATGGGGACACTGGAGAAAAATGTGCATCTCACGTCTTTTAAAAGAGCCTGTGCTTTTGCCTAGCCTGGCAGTTAATGGTTTTTGTGTATATATGGGGCTACTTAATGGGTCTGGATATTGGTCCATCTGAATTGTCCCTGCTGCCTGGCCACCTTCACCCCAGATGCTAGGGACTAGTAGCGTGAGGGACCTTTGGCAAGCAAAGCCAGGTGCTCTGTTGTTGAAATGCGGTTGCTTCTGCTGTAACCACACACACCCTGAATTCCCCCCTGCATGTGAGTGCAGATGGAAGATTTTTTAAAATCTCTGTTGACCACCTTGGCCTGTGAAAGTGGCGCCGTGGTTAAAGGGGAGGCGTTAGAAAGCACTACTGCATATTGAGTGTCCTTGAATGGGGGGGACCCTGGTTTTGAACCCCATGTGGCAGAATGGCTGTAGATGTAGGAGAGGCCCAGTGCCTGAGGAAGTGGGTGGGGTATGGTTGCTTCAGACAGGACGGTGGCAAGGGCGACGAAGGGAGCGACAGTGGAGTTGCTTCCTTGTGCCTGTGAAAATATAAGACCCGAGTTCAGGAGCGAGGAGGAGGGCCATGCGAAGGCTCTCGAGGCAGGAATCCTCCCATACTGCGGTGAACTCCAAGCCGAGGGCAAGGATGCGTCCCTGGCGGGAGGTCTGGCGGGAGCCCCGCTGAACAGGTGAGCAGCAGGTGGAAATGCTGGGGCGCTCCTCCTGCCTCCGCCGCCCCTCCTCAGCTGCAGCCTCCCCGCCGATGCGACTGACGGCGACTCCATGGAGTTTTCCCTATGAGTCATCCTTAGGCGGTGCCCAAAGGTGGAGCTGGCGGCACCGGGCGGGGGGGGGGCACCTAAGAAAGCGCCCTCTTAACTCCCCAGTCCACATTGTGCTTCCTCCAGGAGAGGCCCTGCTGTTGCTTCTTGCACCTCTCCCTCAGTGCGAACAGGTAGCAGCATGGCTAACAGGTAGCCCCCGGTCCTGAAGGGGGGATGGCCACTGCATCTGTCCAGCCCACTTCCAGCCGCAGTTATGCTTCCCTTCTCCTCCTCCAAAGGTAAATGTGCCTTCCCCCAGCGACTGAGGGCATTGCTTTTGAATGCTGCTTTTAGCTCTGCACCCTTGTGTTTCGATCTGCCACCACCCTGTTTTCTCCCCGAAGCCCTGCTTTTCTCATCGGCGGGCACCTGGCTCCCCAGAGGCAAACGAAGCCCCCTTTCGGGGCTGCGGTTCCGGCATCCGTCCCCCTGGCCCCGCTTGCCCACGACTGCCAGAGCCGCCTTGTCCTCCTCTCCCCACCTCTGTTCCACCAAAGGGTTAACCCACAACACCTTGCCTGCATCCACACCATCTCCCCCCACCCACAGAGCCAGGCTACGCGGGGCTTGGTCCGGTTGCCAAGGTGGCGAGATTGGATGCTAGGCGAGAAAGCGGCGCGAGCCCCGTGAAGGCCGGGGTGGGGGGGCGGCGGGAGGCTTCACCTGCCGGGGCCAGCCGGCAGCATCGGCTCTGGCGAGGGAGGAGCTGCTGCAGAGACGGAGAGTGAGTGAGTACCCGCAGGGATGCTCGGGCGGGTCCCAGAACTGCCTCCGGCTCTCCATCCGCACCCCTCGCCCCGGTCGGGCATCCGTGCCGTCTCCCCTCGCCCACGGCACCCTTGGGAAGGGGCGCCCGGGTGTGGGTGGCTGCCTCGTGGCGCATTGTCTGGGCAGCCTGTGCGTGTGCGCAGCCGGGGCCGGGAGGGAAGCCCCCGGGCATGGGAAAGCCACGGCCGGGGCCGTCCGTGGCTGCTTTCCTGGCAGCACCCAGAGCGAGCGAAGTGGCGGAGTGGCGGGCGGGCAGGACGGTGAGACAGCATTAAAGTGTGCTTGTCTGTGCATGGGTGCCTGCTTGTGCAACAGAGGGAGAGTGGCCGTGTGCGTGTGAGCGAGGCAGGGGTGCAAAACATGTTTACTCGGAGCAAGTCCCATTGCTTTCCGTCGTTCTGGTAAGTGTGTTTGCTTTGTGTGTGCGTGTGGAGCATCGCCAGCGAAGGGCATGGTTTTTCAAAATTGTGACATGACGGGGTGTGGGCGAAAAGAGATGCACACCAAGGAAAGGCAGTGTAAGTCAGACACAAACTGAAGCAGCGTAACCGCTTGCGGAATTGGGCAGGCCGGTGTGCAGGAGGACGAAGAGGGGTGTGCGTGTGCGTTTAGCACAGTAGGGGCTGCACAGCTTTTGTCCTGGAGTGTAACACACACAGTTGATGCGAAGAAAGTGGCAAAAGGGGAGGAAAGCAGAAATGAGCACAGTGAGGTGCATGGGCGTGTAGTGCGGCACCTGTTTTTATTTTATTTTTTGTTTAATAAGGAACAAAATAGCCTGAATAATAATTAATAATTCTGTAATAGCCTAAGTATGCAGGTGTAGAACTTTCCTGGTGAGAGCAAAAATATTGGGCAGTGCATGGGGCCAGGGGGCGCAGAGTGCGTGTGTGTCAGGCGGGAAAGATGTGGCATAAGTGTGTATGTATTAGCACTTACGAAAGACACAAACAGTGAAGCTATATGTGTAGGTGACAATCTAAAATAGGGGGTATGGATGAGAGGCACGAAGACGGTAAAAATTGTGTCAATCAGACAGGATGGAACTGTGTGTGAGAAGGGAGACAGCTTAGGGCGTTATTTTTTTGAATTTTTCTTATGCACCTTCCCTTTTTCCTCGGAAGAGCTCAAGGCAGTCCTCCTATTTTATCCTCGCAACAGCCCTGTGAGGTAGGTTAGTCTGAGTGTCAGTGATTGGCCTGGAGTTACTCCGTGAGCTCCGTGGCCAAGGGGAGAATCCCCAGAGTGCCTCCGCCCCAGTCACGCATTCAGATCTCTACACCGTACTGGCTTATATAATCCTCCCCCACGACTCTGTCACAGCAGCCCTGTGAGGTGGGCCAGCCTGAGAGTCAAAGGCACCCAGTGAGTTTTCTGGTTGGCGGGGACCTGGCCCCCTGATCTCCCCTGTTCCAGGCCCACATTCAGACCGCGACCCCATGCTGGGTCTGTGTAGGAGTGAAAGGACGTGTCTTCTAGAACCCGAAGAGGCTCTTGAGTGTACAAAGCCGCCCTGGATCGTCTTTGCCGTTGGCAGAACGACGCGGCCCAACATTCTGGTGTCTCGACCACCCCATCAGCTCCTCGTGCACAAGTGGGGCAGGACGGAGGGGTCTGCGTGCGCGGGTGCGATCGGGGTGCGGCAAAGGCAAGCACGTGAGAAAACGAAGGGTGTGAGGGAGGCAGATGGAGGAAGAGTCGTAAGCAAAAGGGAAAATTGGCTCTGGCTGGGGTGTTGCTGGCACTTAAAGGACTCAAGGCCCAGGCCTGTGGGATGTGCATCTGCATAAAAGCTGCGTAGATGCACATTCTGAAATAATTGCTAACCACAGATGACAAGCCAGCTAGTTAATTTCTCGTTCAGATTAGCTCAAATTGGAGAAGCAAGTGGCTCCAACCGTCTTCCTGAGCTTAATTGCAGTGTGGCACGGGGACTGGGGCTGCACTGGAGTGGGAGGGGAAGGTTCACCCTTTGCTCCATATCGCAGTCCCCCTCACTGGGGAGCCCCCTTGGCCAACAATTATGCTTAACGGGGGCGGGGATGCTCCCACTTTGATCCGCACCTTGGCCGGTACCTGTCGGTGACTTGAGAGTGCGAGGTGGCGGTATAAATCCATGTGTGTGTCCATAACTGTTCGTGTGTGGCACGTGGCAGGTGTGTCTGTGGGACCCTCATACTTGTACCCTCATTTGTGTGAGTGTGACGGCGCATAATGCAGTGGGAAAGCTGTGAGTTAAAGGACGTATCGCAGAATAGTGTGTGAAGACGAAAAACTGCTGGGACGGCCTGTGTTTGTCCCAAAGGTTTGCTGGTTTCACAAGGGTTGTGCCCTTCAAATTGCACAGAGGGTGTGCGAGTAGCAAGCTTCCGTGGTGCAAGGAGCACTTCCTCAGTCTGTGGGGAGAGGTGGCCAATCTCCTGGGTAGAGTGAAAGCGCAGCGACCCACAGCTCTCTCCTTTCAAAAAATATGCTTTGGGCTTTTCTGAGAAGAAGAATTCTGTGTGACACAGAAATACGCCACATTGGAAATCGGTCTTTGGTGGGCATTCTTCCTCTTGCTCCTACAGCGGCAAAATTCTGTCCCTTTTCTCAGTGGCGGCTGCCAGCCTGCTTCCCACTTCTACCCCGATTCAGATCCCACCCCTGATTCAGATCCCACCCCTTCCCTACCACAGGAGAAGAAGAACAGGGGAAAAGCATCCCTGGCCATCCAGAGAACCACTCTGCTTCCCCTGTGGTTGGTTCCATGTCCCTGCGGAGCCAGTATCAGAGAGAAGTAGCGTTTAATTGAATTGCTTTCAGTTACTGGACCCATCCCTGGTTCTTGGGCATTGGCAGGGGGCCCGGTGTACCACAGGTTCTCCCTCCGCTTCCCCACCTTGGTGCAGTGCTGGGAAGGTCTGGCAGCTTCCACAGCAACCCCGAACGCTGCCCCAGCCCTTGCCTGGAAAGGGGCTCTGTTGTGCCACGAAGGGGCGGGGTCTCCGACCCAACATGACCTCAGAGGTGAGTGCACGAAGGGAAAGGGTCCTTAAAGATCTCTCTTGCCCTGGATAAACATTGGAGAATCCTCTCTTCCTGCCCGTCCAAGCCTGGGACATCCCTAAGGCTGAATTTTCCCATTTTCACGGGTGCCGACATTTGTAGTAAAAACACGGGCGGCGGGTCCTTCCAAGTCTGCTTTTCTTTCCAGCTTGGCTGGGTCATCTGTGACTCAGGCTTGCGGGAACAGGAAGATGGGTGACCGGCATTTGGGGATGGGCAAAGCCTGCATATGATGTCGGGCTCGTGGCCACAGGGACAACGTCAATATTAGCTGAAGGCAGCACATGGTACTTCAGGTGTTTGGTGAACATTTAGGATGCTTCCAGCTGCTAGCACTAAAAATCAAAAGTTATTTGTGCTGTTTCTCTGGCTTTTCTTCCTTAATGGATTTTTTAATAAGCAAAAAGATGGGAGAAATGAGATAATGCTGATAATGTAACTATTTGTCATCCAGACCCCCCCCCCCCCGGTTAAATTCCATGGGTAAGGAATGATACTGCACAATAAAACTGTTTTCCTAAGGCTGTTTACCCCTCTTTTGAGAACTTTCTACCTGAAACAAGGAAGCATTTGTGTTATTATATAGTGCAAAGTTCTGCCATTGAAAGAAAATGGGCTGCAATTCTGTGCATGTCTACTTGGAAGCCAGTCCCACTGTATTCAGTGGTGTTTACTCCCAGGTAAGCTGGGAGTAAGCACCGCTGCGAAGTTGTGGCTGTTTAGAATAGACGTTGTGGCTGTTTAGAATGGGTAAATATTCTGTAATGCCCTATTTTCAGTGATAAGAAAACAGATTCTTGGTTCAGTATCTGGACTGTGCCTTTTTTTCTCCTTGTAATAAGGAGTCCAGTAATAAGGCCTGGTGGGGTTTGGGGGTTTCTTTTGCTCCTGGTGGAGAGAGACCTGTAAAATAGCCAGTCGGTTGGTTTCATAGGAATCCTGGAAGTGGAGGGTGTCTGCGTTCCGAATTCATCTGCAAGTTGGCACATTGTAATAGTGAACGGGATGGCTGGAGGTTGAGTGGATTTGAAATACATAGTAGTCTAGGTTGGAGCAGGTGGAGGTGGGGTACCTCCCGTTAGATCAAACTCTGGGCTGAATGGTCCGATGGAGCTCTTTCGATGGTCATTTGTGTGAGGTCGCTTCATTTAAATGCTGCCGCACGGCTGCTGACCTGGCTCGGTTTGCCCGGTGGGCCGCTGGTCCTTTGCGCCATGACGGTGTCACAACTTTGCACCTTGCACAGGTTACAGAGGCAAACTGAGCAAAGGTATTTGGGGGTGGGGTGTCTGTAACCCTTCGTGAGAGATGCGCCAGATAAGGGCTGGCTGGGAGATGAGGCTGTTCTCGGAAAAAGGGGGAAATGTGTTGGCTTAAAAGCTACACTCCCCAAACATTCCCTGTGTTCTTATTTAATGAAAGGGATGGCTATTGATTGATATTAAATCCACTTTTAAAGGTTAAGAAATAACACGTTTCTGCTAACATAATATCATACAGTTGGAAGGGGCTTAGCAGGCCGTTGGGTCCAACGCCTGTTCAGTTCAGGACTCTGGTCCCCCATCCAGATTTCAACCAGCTCTGCCCCTGCTTGGCTTCCAGGATTAGGCAGGATCAGACACGTCAGGCTACACAGAAGCATTGGGCAGGGTGGACATGACCAAGAGATTTTATATGGATTTTATATGGATTTTAACTTGTTTTATCTATGTTGTAAGCCGCCCCGAGGCTTCGGCGAATGGGGCGGCATAAAAATGTTTTAATAAATAAATAAATAAATAAATAAGAGTGGGAAATAAAACCCTGCTTCTGTGAAGCTGAGGGGCAGCACTCCCTCTTTGTAACCACATTCTTGCTGAGGCCAAGGGTCAGTCTAGCTGAGCCTCCTGTTTTGAAAAGGAGCTCCAAAGCATGTCCCATGAAGATCTTTTCCCTTCTCTGTCCGCTGTCCCTCTCGTGTCTTCCTTTGGGGGTAGAGTGCTGCTGAATCTGGAAGCTCGCCATAGTTCTGGCTGCGGAGGCACCTCTAGAACTTGTCCTTCTCATTTTTCAAAGCACTCCAAGTGGTGAGTTCCAGAGAATGGTGCGAAGAAGCACTTTCTTTTGTCCGCCGGAGTTCTACCGGCAAGCAGCTTCTGCGGGGGACCCCGAGCTGCCCCGTGGCGGGAGGGGAGGATCCCGGGGGCATGCCGCTGGTGCGCTCACGCTGTTTCCTCTCCTGCAGTGAATTATTCCCGGCCGCCGCTCCCTCCGGCCATCTGCCCTTCTGACCACCATGACTCCATGCCCGTAGTCTGCTACCCGTCCAAGGAATCAATCCTCAGCCCACGGCCACCCGAACGCAGTGCTGTAATGCGCCGCACCACTGTCCTGGCGCTCTTCTCCGTGGTCCTGGTCTACCTGATCACGGGCGCCTTCGTCTTCCGCCAGCTGGAAAGGCCCTATGAAGTCCGCCAGCAGGTGAAGGTCCGTGCCCACCTGGAGCAGTTCCTGAGGCTGCACCAGTGCGTGTCGACTGACGACCTGGAAGACCTCATCCAGGTGAGGGAGCGCGGCCGGCGGGGGAGGCGTGAGCAAACGCTGCCAGGGCTGGCTGTGCTGAATCGGGCCCAAATCCCCTCCAGGCCAGCGCTTTGCCTCCGCGGTGGGCAAGCAGATGCCCCGTGGGGAAGCCCATGAGTGCCCAGCTCCGTTTCCCAGCGCGTGGCACTGAAAGGCGTACTGCCGTTGCTACCAGAAAGAGAGAGGAGCGGGCAATGGGGCTCTGCTGAGTCCGAAAGAGGTGGAACCGGGAGGGAGGGAGGCCAGCTCTGAGACCTGGCCCAGCCCCTGGGCGAGGGGAGGCTGTGTCAGTGGCTCCGCTTGGCATCATCGCTGGGCAGAGGACCAACGGCCTTTTCCGCAGCCCATTTCCAGACGCTCCCTGCCCACGGAATGGCCCACACGGCCTTCCCAGCTCAGCGGCCTGCAGACAGGGCTTGAGTGAGGTTGCATCCAACCAGGCTGGGGAAGGCTTCCCTATAGAAACAGAGGTGCTTGTTTGTGATACTCACATACCATCCAGGTATTCTATATCATGATTTCTTTTTTAAAAAGTCATTTTAGATTGCAATTCATTGGCCGTACTGATGGGAGTTGGGATTTGAGGTGCTTGGAAGTCGCCAGTTGGGGAAAGGCTGTTGGAGCATCTCGGCTTCCGTCCTCTGCCCCCTTCCTTCCCTCTTCTCCCACCAGCCCCAGCCTTTGGTCCACTGCCCCTGTTGTCCGAGGTTCAACCCCACCTTCCGGATGTTGCATAAATTTTTGCCACATAAGCTGGTGTGGCGTGACGTCCTTTTGGAAACAAATACATGAGGAAAGCATGATCTCCCAACATTAAGGGCGTCGGAAATTCACAATTTTGGCTGCCGAGTAGGAACGGCCAGGCATGCGCTCTCTGTGTGGCACGTTGTGAATAATACTGCCCCACAAGCTACATGCATGCGGAAATTCTGCTGGCCTGCCAGAGACTGGTGGGGGGCATGGGGAGCTGCATTTAAACGCTGGCCATGAGGGAGAGGAGCTTCTCTCTCCCGGCTCCCAGCTCAGTTTCTGTGTTGGGTGCACAGGAGGGATGCTGCCCTCCCTCCCTCCCTCCCCTGCCAGCTTCACCTACAAGTAATTCCCAGTCACGCAAGGCTTCCGTGCAGATGCCTAAATAAAAGACTTGCTGCGCATTCAGGCACATGTGCTTTGCAGGTACTGCTGACTCTGAAACTAACCAAGCGCAGGCCAAAGGACCCTCCCTTCACAAGCTAAAAAGCTCCTCTCTCTATCTGAGAGCTAGGCAGGTCCTCCAGTGGTTTGGCCTTTAATATTGCTCCTTGCCCTTCCTCCTAGCAATTGAGCGATGCTATGGGAGCTGGCGTGGACCCCGTCATCAACAGCACGAACGCCAACAGCTCGCACTGGGATATGGGCAGTGCATTCTTCTTCGCGGGCACCGTCATCACCACCATCGGTATCCCAGGATTGGCTTTGGGCTTTGGGGCAGGAAGCGGGAGGCTCCCGAGGCAGAAAGGGGCTTTTTATGCCCACCCAGAGCATAGGAAGCAGTGTTTAAGTGTTTGGGAGTTGACTGGATTGAATGACGGGGTCGGTTTGGCTGCGGCTCCGGGGAGAGCATGGAATGGGTTCGGGAAAGGAGCTACGCAGCCTTTACACCTGGAGGCCCACCCAGTTCAAAGATGCTCTTGTGGGCCGCATTTCTGCGTTGGGGGTGGGGCCAAAGGCAAGAGGGGCGGGGCAAAAATACCCTCCCAGATGCCATCACTTCCTCCCAACCCTTCCTGCCAGTAAGAAAGCTTTCATGGAAGCATTTCAGTCTTTTAGAATGGGGGAGAAAACCTGCTGAGAAGCCACCACTTCGTCAGTGGTCAAAAGAAAGGGATTGGGGCATGACAGTTGTGGGGTCCATGGCTGTTTTGGCCCCTGCGCCTGGGAACTCCACCCCTGCAAGAGGCTACAAGAGTGGGGAGCAGGCTGATCCAGCGGTTTCTGCAAAGACCGAGGAAGAGAAATCCCATATGTGTGTTTCTCTCCTGAAAAGAGTAGCCTAAACCCTGAGTTCAGTTCCATTTCAGCCAGGCCTCATACCTGCCTGAATATCTGGATTATTACCCATATCTGAGTAATACTCCAGAAACGAGGCCCCTGAGAATGCGAGCAGAGCCTCTTCCCTTGCCCCGCAGCGTATGAAGGCTGTAAGAAGAGTTTTGGGGGCTTGCACCCATGGCTGACCTGGGTCCAGCGCTCGCCTTCCAACGGAGGCCCACCAAAGCTTTCGTGCACGTCATGGGAGGTCCCCACACTGCAGAGGGCTATTCTGACGCCTCCCATGGCAGCCCCACAAAAAGCATCCCACACCCAGGGGAGGCCCCAAGTGTAGAAATGAGAGCATAGCCCTTTGGAGCACAGAGCGCTCTCTTTCCTGCGTGCTGACTCTGTGCCTCTTTCCTCCCCATTCTTGCTCGAAGGGTACGGGAATATCTCCCCCAAGACCAACGCCGGGCAGCTGTTCTGCATCTTTTATGCGCTGGTGGGAATTCCTCTTTTTGGGATGCTGCTTGCAGGTGTTGGGGACCACTTAGGATCATCTCTCCGGAAAGCCATTGGCAAAGTGGAGGATATTTTCTTGGTGAGCCAGTCCACCCCCCACCCCCCACAGTTCACTTTCTGCCTCTTGTGGAAACTCTGCTCCTAGGTTTCTACAGCAATTCTGCAAGCGTCAGCTGGGCAGCTTCGTTGCTGGCGCAACCCGTAGGGTTTGGTAGTGCTCCAGCAGCAAGAAAGCTCTATACCATGAGGTCATCTCTTCCTCGGATGGACCTCGCAGGTGGGCCAAGCGGTGCCTAACAGCCCTCCCTTTAAAAGGGAGTTAGCTATTTTGGGGCGCAGCACTTCAGGGATACTCTCCCTTTGGGCCAAATCCAACCCCTCCTGGGGTCCCAGTCTGAGCTTAGCTCCTTTTCAGCCTCGCAACAACAGCCCTGTGAGGTAGACTGGGCTGAGAGTCTGCGACTGGCCCAGCGTCGCCCAGTGAGCCTCACGGATGACTGGGGACCAGAACCTGGGTCTCCTGCGTCCCTCCTCCACGGCCCGTGACATTTATTTCCATGTGAGGTTGTGGTGGCCGCTGAGTGGCTTTCAACCTTGTGGAGAAGAAGGCCCTCCTGGTACTGATACGCTGCTTCCAGCAGCAGAGGCAGTCTGTCTGAGCGTACTGGTTGCTGGGGAACATGGACAGGAGGGTGCTGTGGGGTCCTGTGGGTACCTGGCTGGCCAGTGTGTGCCATGAATGCTGGGCCAGGCGGGCCTTGGCCTGACCCAGCAGGACTCGTCCGATGTTCTCCTTGCCCGCAGAAGTGGCAGGTCAGCCCCACCATCGTGCGGGTCCTCTCAGCTCTGCTCTTCATCCTGATTGGCTGCCTCCTCTTCGTCTCCCTGCCAACCATCATCTTCCAGCGGGTGGAAGGCTGGACGCTTTTGGAGAGCATCTACTTCGTGGTCATCACGTTGACCACCATTGGATTTGGCGACTACGTGGCAGGTGGGTGCCGTGGGCGAGCCCGGTGGAAGCAGAGGTGGACTGAACCGAGAATGCCCTTCCTCATCCTCTCCCTCCCTCCCTCCTGAGAGACCAGATGTAGTAGCGGATATTCAGAGCCAGACGCAAGGTGGGCATGTCGTGAGCAGAGCCGGCTGGAGCCGGGGGTCAAACTAGATGGCCCGGGAGGACCCTTTTGACTCGCTCTGTTTCTTCTATGTTTCTGTCACAGCATGCCTTTGATTTAGACGGGCAAAGCCGAACACGCTAACCCAGCCTTCCCCAAGCTGGTGTCTGCCCCATGCGTCAAACCACAACCCTCCATATCCCTGTCCGTGGCCTGTGCCGGCTGGGATGGATGGGAGCTTGTTCATTCGCCCGGCCTCCCTCTCCTGTTCTTCCTCACAACAAGCTTGCGAGGTAGTTTAGTCTGAGCGTGAGACCGGCCCACGGCCACCCAGTGGGCTGCATGGCCGGGTCGGTTGGTCTCTCCAGTCCAACACGGTGCCACACTGGCTTCCCTTGAAGCTGAATGCCAGGGCTGAATTCGAAAAGGCGCCAGGGTGGAGCAGAGTGTTCAAGCACTCGCACTCTTCACTTTGCCGGTTACAGTTCAGATCCTGCCCTCTTCCTGGGATGGTACCCAGGATGATGCACCTGGGATTCAGGCCACAGGCACAGCTCGCATCCAAGTCCTGACCCTGGCAAGAGATGCTCAGCTTTTCCAAGGTCGTTTTGTCACTCTTTTTCCAGGCCATCCCTCACGGCCCTTCACAGTTTAGGAGGGCAGCACTTGGTGTGGGCAGACTGGGAGACTGGGACAGTCGAAGCGTGTCTGTCGCTTTTGTTCCTCTTAGGCGATACGAGATTGGAAGACCACCTCTGGTACCAGCCCCTGGTGGTGCTCTGGATCCTGCTCGGCTTGGCTTACTTCGCCTCCATCCTGACCATGATCGGCAACTGGCTGCGGGTCCTGTCCCGCCGCACGAGGGCCGAGGTGAGCCTCCTGGTGGCACCCATGTGGGCCACCGTCCACCTGGGAGTTTCCCCTGCCCTGCAGGGCAGCCTCCGCCAACCTGGCGTTGTCCGGATGTGTTGGGCTGGACAGTCCCATCATTGCTGGCCCGATGACGGGAGCTCCAGGCCAACGCATACGGAAGGTACCAGGTTGCTCCAAACTAGTTTTCTTTCCTCCCCTGCACTTCCCTTTCTCAGAGATCCCCAAACTTTTTGGGTCCATGGGAGCACTTCTGGAATTTTAAATGTCATCGGTGGGCTCACAAAGGGCAGCCACGGGGGCTATGGCCAGTCGCAAAACATTCATTTCCTTGAAGACGAGCTAGCATGATTAAAAGGCATTCTTTGATTACGGTTGTTTGTGGGCTCTTCAGGTGATGTTGTGATCTTCCAGTTTTGCCTCTATTTTTTTCAGAGCCCTTTCCCGTTTTCTTTTTAAAATTGGGAAAAGGTGCTGTCGTATTGCAACAGGGAAAACGGCGCTCTGTCTCCTTGTGTATGTCCGCTCTTCTATTTATTTTATTTATGTATTAGATTTATACCCTGCTTTTTTCCCTTACAAAGCAGCTCAGATCATTTTCCTTCTCCTGCTCTCACTGTGATCCCCACAACAGCTATCCCATGGGGCAGACTGGGCTGAGAGTCCCTTGTATTTATTTTTAATTTTTAATTTATTATATTTATATCCCTCTTTTCCCGCAAGGAAGCCATAAAGGCTTCCATTGTTCTCCTTTCCATTTTACCCTTGCAGTAGCTCTGTGAGGTGAGCTAGCCTGAGTGGCAGTGTGGTGCAGTGGTTAAGAGCATGGGGCTGGGACTCAGAGGATCCGGGTTCGAGTCCCCGCTCGGCCATGGAGCCGACTGGGTGACTTTGGGCCAGTCACAGACTCTCAGCCCAGCCTCCCTCACAGGGTTGTTGTTGTGGGGATAAGATGGAGGAGGAGAATGATGTAAGCTGCCTTGAGCCCTTTGCAGGAAAAAGGCAGGATATAAATCGGAAAAAAAAATTCCACTGCTTATTCTTATGAATCACCACACAGAGAAAAAGGTTTTGTGACATATTGCCGAGTAAAGGTTGTGGAAATATTCCCTGTATTAACTCAAATACATGGACCAGTCCCTTCAAGCTGACTACGTGCTCCGTGTCTTTCCAGCACTGGCCTTATGCAAAAGCTCTTTTAATCCCCATAATCCCCAGCTATCCTGATGAGGACCATGGGTTTTGTAGTCCAGCGGGCCCAGCAGGCCGCCGGTTCAGGCAAATGTGTGCTCCAGTAATGCAAATAGAAAAAGAGAACATGCAACCGCCAAGGTTTGGAACATCTCCTGGTTTCGCCAATTAAAAAACCAGATGGCATCAGCTCTGCACACGCGCTCATTAAGTGTCTTGCTTAATTGAAAGCCATTTCTTTCTCATTGACCCTGGCAATCATATGAAAGGCAATTTAAATCAGGTCGCAACGGTGGCGTCTTCTCCATAGGAGCACGTGACTTGGGAAGGGGAGTCGGCGCACTGCATCTGGGGATCCTGGGAGAGCGTGTACCTTTTCGTACCAGCCCCCCAGTTATTTGGCGGGGGGGCCGCAAAGAGGAGCTGCTCCTTTTGCAGGGAGCAGTGGGAAAGCAACACCTTCGAGCAGCGGAGGGGCCTGCAAGTCTCGGGTGCTTGGCCAGACGTCTGCACCACAGGCAGAGAATATTTCCACGCAAGCGCAACCGGACCATCCCGGGAGGCTTGGGAAACAAGTTGGATTCGTATGTGTGGTGGGGGCTAAAATCCGTGGAGAATGGATCGAGGGAAGACATTTCCTGTATTCTCCCATTTTTCCCTCAGGCCTTCACACCTCTCGTGCAGCCTAGGACAGAACTGCAGCCGTTCAGGGCAGACGAAGGGAGGTAGTTCTGAATACAGCACTACAAGGGTAGCTCAGTTGTGTGTGTGTGTGTGTGTGTGTGAGAGAGAGAGTGCACTTGTCGCAACCCTCTAAGACCCCTGGAGTACCCGAAAGGGTAGCTTATCGCGAGTGGCACATTTCTGCAGCTTCAGTTCTGGCCCATGAGAGCTGACGTCAAAATGGCGTGGAGATGCCTTAATGCCAGCACATGTTTCGCTTGAGGCCCCTGATGGATCGCCTTCTTAACTTGCGGAAACTTAACAAAACGTTCTTACAATGCCTGGGAGAATAAAAAGGGATCTTCATCAGGACTCCAGAAAGATGTTGGTGGAAGCAGCAGGCGAGGCTCTCTGGGGAGAACGTTCAAAACGGGGTGCCTTCGGGCGAGCTGGCTCTGTAAAAATCCCGATTGGACCCATGCTAGGAGTGTGAGTGTGTGGGCGTTTGTGCGCAAGCAAGAGAAAATGGCAACTGCGCTTGCGCCTTCCCAGATGTACGCTCTGGGAGCAGGAGTGGCTCGAGAGCCCGGTCCAACGTGGCGCCTCTTGTCTTGTCTTTGTGCGCTTCTCCTCTCCTGCAGATGGGAGACCTCACGGCTCACGCCGCCTCCTGGACCGGCAACGTGGCGTCGCAGCTGCGCGTCCCCAGCATGACGCTCCCGGAGAAGCTGCACAGGGTGGGCACCCTGAAGGGGAAGCCCCTGTCCCCGTCGGCAATCCTCCAGCAAGGGGAGAGCCAGGACCCCGCCCTGCTGCAGCAGTTTCCCTCGCAGCCCCCGGCCTTGCCGGCACCGCCGTGCCCCAGTTCGTCGCCGGGGACCGCGCAGCGGGTGGCCCACCTGAACGCCCTCAACGCCGTCCCCGTGCGGCCCATCGACTACGTGGGCGAGAACCTGGCCTTCATCGACGAGAGCTCCGATGCCCTGAGCGACGGGGGGCCGCCCTCGGCCAAGCCGCCCCGCCGCCTGCGTCCCCGCGCCCGGCACCGCACCAACCCCAGCGAGCCCCCCGGGCTGCCCATGATCCTGCTGAGCCGGACCCGGGACAAGGGCGAGTCCGTGTAAGGATGTGGCCGGGCCGAGGCCTGGCTTGGAGCGGTTTCCCACGTGCGGTGCGGCTCTCCTCGTTCCCGTTTCCTGTGCCGGCGGAGCGCAGCCCGACGCGCCTCGGCTCGTTTTCCACGCGGTGCTAACTGGACGCCCACCATTGTGCCCTGCTGTGCCGTGTGCCACCAAGTGGGCAGTCTCCTTTCCGTTGACAGGAAGAATTCCCCACCCTCTTGGCAGTGCCAGCCGAGTCCCCTCCTTTCCTTAGGGCAGCGGTGCAGTAGTCGAACCAGGATTCGCGGGGACGGAGGACATTATCTGCCCCCCCCACCCACCCACGGCACGCACACGGCCCTCCTGTGCCTCTCACAGCTCCACTGCAGTCGTCACAGTAGCTCCTCGGAGTGGGTTTTCCCAGTAACCATGTGCTACCCTGAGCTGTCCTGTGGTATGCGAAATTTTTTAGCATGGCTTGATCGTCAGGAGTTGGCCTGTGAGAGAGGAAATGTGCTAGATCGGGTCTGTTGCTGTCGGTCAACGGAGGGACCTAAGTTTTTGGACTTTTCTCTGGGATATGGTCACAAGGAGCACTTGCACTTCAAAACGGACCACTGCACCTCTGCTTTAGGGTCGGCCGAACACTGGCACTGTCGTTCTCCTCTCCGCACGATGCCCCGAACTCCCTCTCCCCGCTGCACTAGGATTAGCGTCCTGCGTCCCGGGTTCAGTGGTGGAGTCTCACTCCGACCTGTTCTGGTTGTGCTGGCCTTCCTGGACCTGCATCTCCCCGGAGGGCCACATCCACTCCGGCTCCAAGCACCAGGCCTGCTTCCTGTTGCATGCTCCTCCGATCGCCACCCTCAAGCGTGCACGCACAACCCCCTCCCTCTTGTGAGTCAGACTGTGAGCAAAACTACACAATGGGCTTTCAGTGAATTGTAATTGTTGTTTTCGTTTCCTTTCTCCGGGGGAGTCCGAGGAACTGAGGTGGTTTTCATGTTCTGCTAAGGCAGCCGTCCCCACATTGGTTCTCTCTAGATGCGTTGGACTACCACTGCCAGCATCCCCAGCAAGCCATGCGTATCACTGAGTGGCTTTGGGCTAGTCCCTGGCACTCAGCCCCATCCTGCCTCATGGGGCTGCTGTGAGGATCAGATGGTGAGGGAGGGTATCCTAAACCTGCCTTTGGCTCCTTGGAGGAAACTCAAGATTGAAATGTAACAAATCAATAAACCTCCCTTCAGTCCCAGCAAGTGCAATCAGTGGTCAGCAGTGATGGGAGTTGTAGTCCAACACACCTGAAGGGCACCAGCCCGGGGAAGGCTGAACTAGGGCTATCTTGCAAGAGACATGTTGGCACCTTCACTGAGCTACAGTTCCCAGGATTCTTTGGGTGGAAGCCATGACAGTTCCACACCCATCAACCCCCTACAAGATTGTGGTGTACATAGACCTTCTTGTCCTGTGTGGTACGGTGTGTCTGGGAAGCCTGTACTGGTGGGGGAGGTGGACGTTCCCAACGTGTGAGCTGTATCTCGCCATCTAGCAGGGTGTCTCTGTTTTCTCTCCCCTGAGTCATGGGCAAGAGGAATATAAAATCTGAAATGTGCAGCGTGTGTACCCCACCGGGGCTTTCCCCCAGGGGTGGCTTGGTCGACGTTCGGCAGCTGCCCCAAGCGTCGGGGCGTGGAGTAGGGGAGCAAGGGGCCCTTCTCATTCTGTCTTCCATCCTTCACCTCACAAACGTGCCTGTTCTCAACTCTGTATCTTGGAAGCATTTATCTTACTGGGGTGGGGGGAGTTCTTGTCTTCCAGAAATTAAAACCAAAACTACACAAGCGGGTCCTGTCTGTGTGTTTTGTGTTAATTCTCCGGAGAGGAGGATGCCTGGCTCGGTCACGACATCAATCCAGTGTGGCTGCACGAGCAATGCTCTTTCTTCTGAGCCCAAGGCTGGGCCTGGAGGTGCAGCTGTGTGCTCGCAGATTCGGCACGGGGCCCTCCTCGGAATCTTATTTACGCTTATTTCAAATCCTTTCGTTAGATTGCTTTAGTGACTTGCAAGCCCACCAGCGAAGCTGCAACGGAGGCCCTCCTGCTCATTCGGTTGAGTGGAGGCCCCGGGCACCTGCCCCGGAGTCCTCCTTTGCTGGTGTTAAGGTTGTGAGAACACTTAAGATACGCACTGTACAGTCCTGGTCGTGGCACCTACAAAGGGACATCGTAGAGCTGGGAAAAGTGCAGAAAAGTGTCAAGAGGCCGAGGCCCTTTGGAGAAAGGTCACAACAGCCGGCCTAGAAGGAAAGGTGAGTGAGCGGAGACACCACAGAGGCACGCACGATGCGAGGGGGTGGCGAGGGGGGGATTTTTCTCCCTCTCTCCTAATGCTAGGACCCGAAGGGGTTATCCATGCAGCAGGACGGTGGGAGATTCAGGGCAGATCGAAGGAAACACAGCTTCACGCAGTAAACAGCTAAACTGTGCGATTCATGTGCACGAGATGTAGCGATGGCCACCCATCTGGATGGCGTGAAACGGGGGCATCGGGCACATTGGCGGAGAAGGTGGTTCTGTGCTACCAGCTACAGAGGTATTACACTTAACGCATCTCAGTTGCTGGGGAACATGGGTGGGAGAGTGCTGCTGGTTGGCCTCTGTGTAGACAGAAGGTTGGGCAAAGCGGATCTTCAGTCCGATCCCGCAGGGGTCTTCCGTTCCTCAGCATTAGGCGCAAGAATGCCAGTGTTTTGCACTAGGGTATGTGTCCTCTTTTGCAGAAAGCATCCTCTGTGTTAATTGCAGTCTTTGCTAATTCAGTCTAAAAGTCAGAGCTGCAAAGAGAGAGAAGGTGGCCCTGGAAGTTTTCCATCAACAGTTAGCACCTGAAAAGCAGCTGGACAGGCAGGGACACAGGAAACCGGCCACGGTTTCCCACCCCACGGTGAGATTTCTTCTATTTAAATTATGATAATTTCTATATCTGCATCTAGGGGTACAAAATGGCCTGTGCAGTGTTTATGTGGGTCTTTATTTTACTTTTGGTGAGGCCATCTCTTTCTGCTTGGGTTAAGCTTTCCCTCTTCATTTTCAATACATCCAAGGATGTACTTATTTGTTTCAAGAAAGGTTACGCAAAATGGATCCGAGAGAGAGAGAGGTGGCAATGCCCTAAGGACTTCTAATGGGCCTTGTATTCTAATTAATAGATTTTCTAATGATCTGTGAAAGGGGATGGGAACATGGAGAAAGAGGATGGTAATGGACTGAAAATCCCAGGTAATGCAGAAATCCTCTTTTTCCAAAGTGGAGGCATTTTTGCAGCGGGGATGCCAGCCAGCCAGCTGCTTGAGTGGCGGAAGGAGTGATGCAGCAGGGCCCCAAAAGAAACGCGAATTAACGTTGGAGGGCCAGCAAAGCGTGATCCGTTTGTGGAGGGAACCTGGGAAAGGACGGGGTTTGGTGCTAACTGGTGGCATCATTTTGGGATGGCGTCCAGGAAAATGAATTAGAGTGATGAATAGGTACTAAAGCTTAAGCTGTGTCGAGGGTGAAACAAATAATTTCTTTCCGCTGCTTTTTATTTATGGGGAACATGGGTATGTATTTTTAAAAATAATTTTATAATCTAAAGAGCCTAAGGTGTACATGGAGTGTATAGACTGAGACATTGATTGATGCGGAGGGGTGAGTTGCCCCCAAACAGATAATCCCCTCCAGTTTCTCTGATGAGACCTATTATTATTGTGGTTGTTGTTGTTATTTCAAATCCTTCCATCCCCAGGGAATTGTAGTTCTGTGGGCCGGCAAAGGTCACGACTTGCCAAAACCCCTTTCTTGTCACCCGCTGACAGCACCACCAAAAAGCAGTTTTACAGAATTCCTTGTGGGAATTCATGACAGTTAAGCAAACGTAACACCAAGAGACGTTTCTGTGGTGCATTTATTGGTTTGTTTTGCTAAATTTTCATCCCAGCCATCTGGCAAAACACGGAGGCGGGCTGGCTCAGCATGGGGACCCTTCAGTCCTCTATTTTGTCTCCTCGGCCACCCTGCGGGGCAGACTTCAAGTCTGGGAGAGACACTTGGAACCGGGCAAACATCGTGAGGCTGGGCTGCTGCAAGCAGTCGATCAAAGCAAGAAAGAAAGCCGGCAGCTGGGAGGGAAGGGAAAGGAAGGAGACGGAACCCCAGTTCTTGTTGTTTTCCGTTGTTGCCATGGCACTGAACAGCCACCAAGCCGCAGAAGCGTCTTCCTTCTCCCAAGCAAAGGGAAGGAGCAGCCGTTTTCCGATCCCTGCTCCACCTTGCAGGGGTACCGGCAGGAGGACATGGATTTTTAAAATTTATTTTTTGTTAAAGTGCATGCCCTTAGCCATCTGTGGAAAAGTGAAGGCTGAGGTCATCGTGAAAATTGGGGAGAGATTCATAGGCCAAGTCTGTGGAGCAGCTCCGAAGCGTCCTTTCTGATTCTGCTTTTCTAACTCCAACGTCTTGAAGCTGTTGCTGTTGGCTACCAAACTGATAGACTTACCCTGATCCGTAAGATCACACATGGCCACATTTCTGGGGCCTTTTCAACAGAGGAAGCTGCTTTCGTGGTCTGAGGCATTTTTCCAGTACAGAAGGTGTCTGGATCAGTAGCTGAACCCTACTCCAAGGCGGCAGGCCGGCTTAGGGGATGCAGGGGAGGCGGCAGGGTACACGCTGATGGGATTCAGACAACATGTTAACTCTCGCACAAGGACTGAACATGGGATGTTGTTAAAACCTGGGTTCAGGTGTTGTCGGAACCCACCTGCACTAGCACACAATGACTTCTTAACAACCCCCCTGGTTTCTGGCTGGTTTGTGAGCTGCTCATTGTTCTATGGGGTTTGTTTTCTTGCCTGGGTTGGCTCAACAACAACCCGCAGATCACCCATGCTCAACCCTTGTCATGTCTGAACCCAGTCGCTGCTCTGTTGTGACCTGCAGAACTGGCGCTGCTTGCTCAGGGTGGATTATTTTTCCCAGGCAAACGGTCTTGAGAGCTTGTGGCTCATTGTAGAGTTGTTCGTACCTCTGTAATTAATTATTGCTGCTCCCTCGGGCAATAGTTTAGTATCTTCCATCCATGGATGCTGCTTCCCTCTACCTAAGTGTCGGGTTGGGATCCAGAGAATGATGGATGGAGGTTTCCCCAAAATAAATTGCTATTACTTATTATTGCAGTTATATTCTGCCTTTTCCCCCCTCGTGTGAGAAACCCGAGGTAGCACGCATGATCACCTTCCTCATTTTATCCTCACAACAATCGTGTGAGGCAGGTTGGACCAGGCCTGAGTGGTTGGCCCAGAGTCATCCACAAGCAGGAACTAGCATGCAGATCTCCGAGGTTTCTGTCCAGCTCGCCCACTGGTTCGCCGCAGTGGCTCTTACCCTTCCTTTATGGCAATCCTCTGGCGTAAATTAAGCCAAAAGAAGGCAATGCCGTGCAATGTGTCTCCTTGGCAGTAAGTCGCGAGTGATTCAGTGGGGCATATTCCCAGGTGAATGTTTGCAGGACTGCATCCGTACAGAGCAATCCCAGGTGTGTTTAGGTGTGGGGGGAAAGGCAGCATGGTGCATGCTGGGAGCCGGGAGCCATTTTCCGTCTCAACTTGAGTTTAGTGAGCTGGCTGAGGCCTTGTAATCCAACCACCTCGCTGTGACACCAATTGGGGTGGGGTATTTATCTGCAGGAACCTGTGTTAAGATGCAAAATATCTAAAATTACAGATTGCAGTGAAGCATTAAAAATCTCAACAGAACCCAAACCAACCAACAGCTAACCCTTACAGAACCAACAGGAAACAAACGAAAAACACCAAGATGATTAATTTTTTTTAGGTTCTTTCTAAAGATTATCAAGCAAGGAGTAGGAGGAAACCGTTCTTGAGGTGTGGAGTGCCACAACCAAGGAGACCCTCTAACCTGTTGGCCCCCATCTCATTTCAGAAGGTAGGATTGGCCTGTTTATCGCAATCAAAATGCCTCTCCTAGGACTTAGTTCCTGGCAGTAAAATAGCTTAAAATTAAACTATATTGTCATTTGGCCTCCTGCCTTTGGGCCCTGTTCACTGATCGAATATGGCCCCTCAGAATTTCTTCTAACGGACTGCAGTCCTCTGGCATCATGGCACAGTGTTACATTAATACAACTGATCCAGCGTAATGGGTTGTGAGAATAACAGGGGTGACGTAGGTGGACTGCTGAAGTCTACAGGAAGATGAAAGGCTTTTGGAGTTTGGGAGTAACGGCTTGGTAGAGATGCGACTCTGCAATTGGGGACCCGTGAGAAACAGCCATGCGATGATGGCAGCTGCCCATATCGCTTTCCTTTCTTTTCTCAAGAGGCTTCCGGATGGATAAAAGTGCGAAAAACATGGCAGAACCTGCCACTGCTCGGAACGCCACGCAGCAGGTAATTGGACCAGGGAGACATAAGGGAGATGTCCATGCCGGAAAAAGACTTGATTTTCTTTCGTTCGTTTGTTCGTTCTTTCTTTGGTGTAAATGTCTATATTCTGGACAATTCTTCCTTCTTTTTTAAATCTCTCGCCCCTCTTGTTCCCCCATTCTGCACAGTCTGATTTCCAGGGGCTTCACTGCCCTGAGCTCAGGAGTACAACCATCTCCCATTCCAGGTTTTCCGGATCGCATTGGCCTGTTCCTTTGGAATGTCTCTGTCTGTGGCCAACCATCATCTAAACCATTAAAATGGCTCTCGGGATGTTTGCAGATTTGACTGCACCTTGTGTTGCCAGTGGCCAGTGTCAAAAAACCCCTGCAGCTCTTCCATCTTTCCCTCCTTAATGGATTTTCTGTGGTGAGAAAAAAAGATTGAAGAAGTGATAGGAAACGTTGGCAGAAGGTTACAAATGGAATTACAAGGTTGTCTGGACACTGTAAAATTCTGTGAACGAAGCAGAGCGTTCATTGGAACAATAAAAGCCTTGGCTGGACGTGTTCCTTCCTGAAAGCTCAAAAGCTTTAACGCAAGCGTTTAAAAAAGAATGCCTGTCTAACTCTTCTTGATAGGATTGCTATAACTCTCTGAGATAAAAAGCAAAAACCAATTAACCACCACAACCAGTCTTAGAATACATCGCTCTTCCCCACTTTCTGTTTTCTTTTGAATATATTCCAGAGCAAAAGCCTACAGGCCACAAGCCCCTTCCCAACACCTACCAAAATTGGAAATGTTCCCCATTGCCACCTTCACCGATGTGTGCAGCTTAATTTAAGCTTAGCAAGGACAACCGGGTTGGTCTCCGACCTGGGTTGCTTATGGACAAAGGGCTCCTTGTTTTGACATCCAAAAGTAGGGGTGTTGAACCTCAGGCTTCTGGGCCAAATCCAGCCCACGTGAGGTCCCCAGACGGCCATGCCTCCTTCCCATGGCACCCTCCTGCCCTCCACCCCCGACCATTGCTTGGCTTCCTGGCTTTTCTCTGCCTGGAACCCTCGAGAAGGTGGGAATGTCATACTGGGGTAAAGCTAAAGGCCCAAACACACACACACACATCAGCCTAAACAATTAGGAAGCTATTGGATTTGTGGAGTATTTTTAAGGACCTCGTTCTGCAGCATGTTCTGGGAACATACAATGTGACATTCTCCTTGAAGGTAAGAGAGCAATCCTAAAGTCCCCAGAAGAACAGGCCAGGGTTCCTAAGAGTGCTCAGAAAAGCCCTTCCAAGGTTGGAGACCATGCTCTGACCTTGGAAGGGAGATTCGGGCACGACACCCTGACCCAGGCCCTGTGCAACTAGTGTGGAAAGGACTGCAGTGGTGGTCTTCTGTGGTTAGAAGATTGACCTTGGAGGAGGAGGAGGAGGAGGAAAGGGAGTGTTTTGGTTGGCAGGGAGGGGGAAAGATGTGCAAGGGCAGGGTATGAGATACCCTGCGTCTCCTCCCTCCCCTCAAAGTGTCCTTGCTAGACAGGCTGAAAAGTCCGCCTAGCAAAAATCTCCCAAGGGGAAGGGTGAGGAAGCAAAGGTGGCCTGCACCACTCCTCTACCCTGCCAGCTTCAGCACTGGAATTTCAGAAGACTCTTGAGTTTGGAGGCTCCCAAGCAAGGAGTGTGTGGATGGGAGACGACTCGGGAGAATGTTCCTTGCCCTAGAAGGGAAGCAGAATGTATGCTTGATGCCTCCAACGAAACCTCAGGGCCGTCGACTGGGAAGTCACATCTTCTGGAGAGGACAACTGTCAGATGTTCGGCCTGAGATGAGGGGTGATGGGGTTTGTAGCCAAGACATCTGGAGAGCTGCGAGTTGCCCACCTCTGCTGCCCATAAACAAGCCCAATTGTAACCCTGCAGGATGAAGCAGAAATGCTCTCGCTGTCCGAGAAGGCAATTCAGAAGGAAGTGGAGCGTCTCTTGGAAGACGAATTAGATACGTTCTTAGCTGAAGAAGAGAAAGTGGCCCAAGAGGAAGCGGAGGGCGCGACGTCGCAGGATGAAGGGGAGGAACCTGTGATGGAGAAGGAGCCCAGGGAAGAAATGGGCCTTCTATCATTGCAGGCTCATAAAGGACCAAAATTCCTGGAGGTCGTCAAGGAGGAAGAGGAGGAGGAAGAGATGAAGCAAGAAAGTGACCAACTAACTTTGTTGGGTGATGAAGAATTGGAGGTTGTGGGGGATGAGCGAGAGGCGAAGGAGGAAAGCGACCGCCTAACTTTGCTGAGTGAGGAAGAATTGAAGGTCATGGGGGATGAGGAAGGAGACCGCCTAACTCTGCTGGGTGACGAAGGCTTAAAGCTCATGGAGGATAAGGAAGAGACGAATGAGGATAGTGACCGTCTCACTCTGCAGGAGGAAGGGGAGGAACCTTCAGGGAAGCCAGAAGCGGGATATATGAAATTTTCAGAAGCAGTCCAGCAAATCATAAAGCAGAAGAGCGATAAAACAAGGTATCAGTTTCAGTGAGAAAAGGGGAGAGATCGCTTTGAGAGGCCTTAAAACTCACAGAGGTATTCGCAATCCATTTTGCACGGGGTGACTCTCTCAGTAGGGTAAAAGGCGTAGTGTTGCTATGCTGCCTCTTCTTCCTTAAAGAATAAAGGATTTTTATTTTTGCCCAGTAAGAGAAAAGTAGCAGCTGATAAAAGCACGGGGGTCCTTTTAAGTAGAAGATTAGGTCATACAACTGTATCATGTGGACGCTTCAGAGGCAACTTACAATAAAAACCTCGCTGGAAGCATCATTTAATATTTCTGAGCTTTACCCCCCAAAGCCAAAGTGGTCCCTTCCTTGGGCAAGGCCTCATGTCCTGGGCTGCCTTCTTTTCTGAGGAAGGCCAAGTGTGCCCAAACGCCCTTGGTAGCAGTCCCACCTTACAGGAAGCCTCTTTCTCCAGGTTTTTGAGGGCTCTTGGGCCCGATCGGCCCCCTCCCTCAGTGTGTTCTAGCAACACAATAACCTGCCCTCAAGGGTTGAGTGTGGGTGGTTGTTCTTTCTGAACCCAGGCATGCTAACAAACCATGGTTTGTTAACCATGAGCATCCCATGAAAAGAAACCATGGGTTGTCTCTCTTGATGAACCATGATCTGTCAACACGATGGAGTTCAGACATGGTGATCACTCCCACACAGTTCAGGAAATGCTTTTTTGAACCCAAATAAAGATGGCACCTGAGGACGCCGGGTGTACCCCATCTTTCTGGAGCCTTGCACACAATGGCAGATTGGTGGCTGACATGTTTCCTAGCTACTTCCTTTGTTTTTCCCCCTACTGCCCTGAGTCTGAAGCCCGCTTCTCCCTGGACCAGCCCTACAGAATCCTTCTGTTTTTCTCTCCCGCATCTCACCCCCCAGGTCAAGCAGAGGCAGCATTGGGAACTTATGGGCTCGGCACAGGCAGGTAAGAAAACTGGATGAGAAAGGAAGCCCTACCAGTACACAGGCCACTGTTTATAATAGGAAGCAGAGAAGGGATTAGAGAGAGAGTTGATTTTCCAACAAGGCAGAAAAGCAGATCTTCTGCAAACTCCATTTTACTCAATTTGCAGAAAATAAAAGAAGCTGCACAGAAACAGAAGATAGCCATGCTGCCGCCCGGTTACTTCACCAAGTAAGAATCCCGCAATTCTGCTGGATTGCCAGCATCCATTAGGAGTATCTTGAATTTAGACACCCCTTTCTGTTCTTGAATTAAAATCCCATCTGGTCTCCCAATGAGCTGTTCCCTTGCCAGACCTGTTGGGCCGGCTTAGACTGCTAATCAAAGCATCACACTCTTACCCAGCCGGGGATTCAGTTGGCATCGGATTTCCTGGAACAACCTGAAAAGACAGCTTAATGTAGTGATGCCAGGGCAACCAGATCGGTCTTCACAGCTAGATGCTTTTTAGCTGATCAGTGCTAATACAATTATCCGATCACCCTGTTGCAGAAGGCGTTCCTTCACTTCTGCATGCGCTGACGTAAGTCTTCCCTTAGCAAGCTGCTTTAAGGAAGACTCCCTTGCCTAGACTCCTGTCCCAACAATTCCGTTCCCCTTTTTAGATACTGGGCCTCTCTGCTTAGATCCGTCACTCATTAGGCACCCCTTGTCTGACAGGGGGAGGGTTTGATCAGGCAGTGCCCAACACAGTATTGTAACTAACCAGAGAACAAGATGCACCTTTGATCTGGGCTTTTTTTTATCCTTTTTCTTCAAGGTTAGGTAAAGTCTTGGATTTGCCTGCATTCCAGGAATTGGTAAGCCTTGTCCACATATCTTTTGTTTCAGTCCCTCACCCCTGAAAGCGTGACTTTCCAGCATGGCGGAAGCTCAGGGTGAGTGTGGTCGTGGGGAGAGACACAAGCATCGCTACGTCGTAGGTGCTGACCTGAACCGACCAGAGCATTGGGGTGGGAGAGTCCCAACAGTCCCTGGGAAGTTGGAAGGAAGCCCAAGTTATTCCTGGTGTGGATGTGTGTAATGTGGCACATCTCCCTGTGGCATAGTGCACCTCGGGTGCAGGCAGAGGAGGGGCCCCTGGCGCTGCCCTTGTTCTCACATGCACCTCGCTGCGAAGCGTTTCAAGTCCTTTTGAGCTGGGACGATTCTTCCTTGGCAGCTTGCATCTCCGCCCGTGAACCGGCACGTGCGCGTCTTGTGTGAATGCTTCCCCCTCTTTTTTGGTCTCCCTGCTGCTTGTCTCCAAGCTGGCTGTTCTTGGGAAGAGAATCCCAGACTGGCTGGCCCAACAAGACCTCAGGTGGAAACGAGTCGGTGGGCTGGGATGGAGAGGTACCGTGGGCATGGATGTGGGGCTCATGGGACAGGGTTGCGGCCCGGTCTTGAAGGGCCCCCTTCCATGGAGAGGCTGCCCATGGTCCCCAGCTGTGGTCGCCCTTCCCCCTTGCTCATCATGGCTCCTCGACAGGCAGAATGCCAGGGAGCGGAGAGGCCTGGCGTCTGCATCCCCTAACGGACAAAGAAGTGGCGGGGAAGCAGAGAGGCGGCCCGTGGACCCCGCTGCAACATGGGCCCTTGGCTGGGAGCCCACCTGGCCTGCCTTTGACACCCGTCCTGTGCAGGAGAGAGGGACAGAGTGGGACTGGGAGGCCCGATCGGGGGGCATTCATTTAGCCCAAGGGGATTTTCACTCCCCTATCAAAGCCGATGGGGGACGATGCAGCGGGATCTCTCTAACCTACAAATATCCTTGCAGAAAACTTTGGAGTGGGGATCACGGGCTCGGAAATGGGATCCCAACCCAAGGTAGGAAACCAGGATACTTTTACATTCTTGGGGAAGCAGGGGGTGGAAATGCACAAATGTGTCGCCGAGAGCATCCAAGAACTCTCAGCCTAACCTACCCAGCAGGGTCGTTGTGTGGGTAAATCGGGGAGGAGGTGGCTCATGAACATTGTCTTGGGCTCCTTGTGGGAGAGGCAGGATATCAGTGTAATAAATACATCTAAGCGCAGGGAGGTATGTTAGGGCAGTTCTGCAAAACAGCAGATCCAGAAATTTTCTGGAAGGGGTGTATTGTCCTGGATTTTAGAGCCAGATTTTAGCCCTTATGGCCATGAAGATAAGCTTGGAAACCATTCTCTGACTGGTCCTTGTCACTTGTTCTGTCAAGGTTGGCTAGGATGTTCCCCACAGAAATGCCAGATGACCTGCCCAAGGTAGATTCTCGTTTGTACCTCTTGTTTTGCTCTGTCAGCCCCAGGCGGTGGGATCCATTTATATTAGGTGCAGAGCCTCTTTCAGCAAGATGAGAGACTTTTATTTTGAGGACATTTTCTGGGGCACATTCCAGTGGTGGGCAAGAACCGAAGGCAAAGCGGGCTGGGCAGAAATACCCCAAGTGCCAACACTTTTTAGCTTGAAGCTCTTCCTTCCAGTAACTAAGTCTTTGGAGAGGGGTTCTCCTGTTTCGGACTGGGATAGGGAGCAGGGAAGCTTCCCAAAAGCCAGGAAATGATCAGTAGGGAAAGGGGGTAGACCTTGGGAAAGTTCTGCTCTCCTGCTTTATACTTAAATTTGGAGGTTGAGGAAGGCAGGGAAGGGATACGACCAGGTGCTGAACGAGGCGGAATTGTGAGCTGGTTCAGTCCAGCTGTTCTTACTCAGCCCTCGTCTACAGCAGAACAGGGAGGAGGGGGGATGTGGCAGAGTTCAGTTCGCAGCTGATAAAGGGAGGGACCTTTGTCTTTTCATGTCCAAGAGAAATTTTCTATCCTGCACCGTCTGTCCCCTTGTAAGACTTTCAGGGTGGTGGCGATCAATCTCCTTGTCAACACCCCAAAGCAGCAAGCCGAACAAAAGCAAAAGCGTTAATAAAGCAAACAAAAAGCAGCCGAATTTTACACACAGAGAAGGTGCCAAAGAAGGTCAAAGAAAGCTGCTTTATTTATTGTGCTGTGAGCGTTTCTGGGGCCGGTGCACATGCAACGGGCAAGGAAGTGCTTTCTGATGCATGCTGAGGAGCACCCCAAATCCGAGCAGAGCCTTGCCGTCCCCGCACTTCACGGGGACACCGAGCAAGGCCTCCTCGGAGGCGTCTGCTGTTCAGGCAGGCCAGAGTGAGAGGAGACCTTAAAGCTGGGGTGCAGAACTGTCCGGGAGTTGGGATCAGAGTGCCCTGCTCTCCGCAGGCCAGATGACATCTGGGGCAGGGCTCTTTGACACGTGCTCCTTGACCTCTCCCCATTTTTGAGTAGTGCTCCTCTTATGCCAGTCCTTGTGGCCGGGCATCCCTGTTTGTGACCTCAGGTCAGCGGGCCTCCTGCAGCTGGGATGCATCCAGAGGCATCTGGAATCTCAGAGCCGAGGTTGCGGGGATGCCTTCTGAAGGGGTGTCCTCCTGGAGGTGGGGTTTGGAGCTCAAGCGCAATTCACCAGAGAGCCTCCAAGAGGCAGCGCAGGCCAGCTTAGGCCCACGGGCTGGAGCTTCTCTGCCCTGCCTTAAGCTATACCCACTGCAAACCATTTAGGGCTTCACTTAAACATATACCGATAGCGGTAACCGTTCCATAAAACCATCCCGGCTGCTCTTCAACTGGCAGAATCCAGCGGTCCTGGATTGGGATGGGTGAAGTTTCCAGGGTGGGATGCAGATGTCTTTGGCTGGAAAATCCCTTTTAATGTTCTGGTGTTATTGTAGAAATTAGCTGGGAAGCGAATGCCTTCAGAGAAAGAAGAACACCTTTTAAGGTACAAAATTTCACATGTCCCTTGGCCAAATTCCACACAGCTTGCAGAGGTGGGATGGCAAAGTGAGGGAGGGGGAAAAAGGATGTGATGCAGAGAGGGGGGTGTCACGCCATGTGGGGCAGGGAAAAGGGCTGCCCAGAGAGAGATGGGAGGAAGTGTGTTTTTTTAATTGCTCTGTTAGGTTTTGTGGTTGCTAAGTTTTGAGCTGGAGTTATTCTATAAGGCGCTTATAAATCTTGTAAATAAAATAGGCAGAAGGGATGCTTCTTACCC